TGCCTTCACTTAGAGTTCATGACCGACTTCTGCTGCTGCCTTATGATTCCATAGTTAAATGCTATCGTTTAAAACAACCCTGAATTCATTAGGCAAGATTTGAAAAAACTACAAATTATTTCATCCACATAAGAAGAAAAATAATAAACACACAAACCAGAAAATCACAATTATATAGAGTGAATGCTATAATTGCTTATTGTGTGCTGTGTACCATACATTTGTGAATGACTGAAGGGAAAACGAGGAGGTTAACACGGCCTTAACAGATGGTCACATTTAAAGCACATGTTTATGTAGTTCCCTGGAAGTGATGTCACTCACCTTCGTCCTGTGCAGCCCTGGCGGCTCGAGCCTGGGCCAGCTCAATGCTGACTGGTTTCTGTCTGTGCTGCTGCTGGACAGACAGAGGGACGGCAGGGATCTGCGGAAGCTTCTCTCTCCACTCCGGCCCGTCCTCCTCGATCAGCATCTTAGTGATTCTGGCAGAAAAGACAAGGAGCGCAAAAGATGAGCACAGGAACGACTCAAGTGTTGGTGAATGTTTGTGTTGTACTGTATTAATGCTGGGTTACATGGTGTTTCTATACTTGACGAATGTGCGCTCGTCTTGTTTCTGAACGTGTTGCCTCAACACGGGGCTGCAGCGCTGTGGTGGCCCACTATACAGACTAAGTGGCAGCCATCACTGCTACATGCGAGTGTAATCATTCATTTGCTTCAATAGCTACTACAGAAAATAACAGACTGCCCCATTTCAAAGACCTAAATGCAGCATTATTTGTGGTCACAGTGAGGTTAGGTTAGCCCTGCCCTCCCCTGCCCTCCTCAGCTGCTTTCTTTTCCTTCCAGGGCCAGAGTTAGAATATATATGTTTTCCTCTACTGTAGCATAGACCAATTGTTACTCACCACTTCCTATGATCATTAATGCTACAGCAGCCGATTTCAGGAGGAAATTCAGATAAGAACTGCCACATCCACAGAACCAAACAAGATAATAAGATTTTCAAGGATCATTAATTATTTCCTATGGAGACCGGTGTAAAAAATTATATATTCAACACACGCATGTCTGCTTGGCCTACTGAAGGCAGAAATTATGTCTTGAGTATGATTAATATTATATAAGTGAAATAAATGAAAATGCAGTGCAAGCTAAAACAGAATGTGACATTATAATGTGTTGGGGAAAAACACAATTGCCACTTTTGAATAAACTCAGAAACTGCATCGTGTAAATAGCTCCTCTTCTTTCATAAGGTTACATAAGGCACACGAGGGTGGTTCACTGTTAAGCTGACTTGAGCTGACCTGTGGACGCTGTCATGAGCCGCCTGCACCCCGGTGTCCATCTGCAGGACGGTCTTATAATCCACGTAGGCCTTTCTGTAGCGCTCCACTGACTCATAGGCCATAGCCCTGCGCAACAGGGGCTTCAGAGAGTAGGGCTGCAGCTCCAAAGCCCTAAGAGGATCAGAAAGACACAGAGACAGAGGATCAAACCCTCCATGCCTGCACAGGTGTGGCTGGGATGATCTGAAGCTTTCCATTCATAAACATGTGAGGGAGTGTTTGTTTGAGAAATTCCTGAAGCCGTGGAAGTGAAAAACAAACTCTGTTGACCCAAAACTATTCCATGAACCATTTATAACTATTAAAGATTCTGTGGAAATGCTGAACAATCTTCTGCTTGAGCTTGTGGCTCTGAGCTAAGCTCTGGTCTGTGATAATGCCACGGTGAGGGCATTGTAAACTAATTACAAAGCAAATATCCATTTTCTTCATGCACAGTAAGGATCTCCTGTCTGCTATTGTGCAGTGTATGGAAAAGCTAATTTAATTTATATCAAGTTCTCTATATATTCTTTTGTGAGGATAACGTGGTGTGAATGATGAGTTTAAATCAACAGCAGGGTCCTATGTGAGTAACATGTAAGTAAATGTAATAATGAACTCGTCGACATTTAGCCTTTCCAAACACCGTTCTCCATTACTTCTGAATGTAAACAGAAAATATAATTATTGTATAATTATATAAGAACTACACAGAAAAGCAATGTCTGCAAACATGCAGGAATATATGCAAATGCACACACACACAGAAACACTGATCACGTACTTGGTGCAGTCCTGTATGCAGTCTGTGCTGTTTCCGTCCTTCAGGTAGCAGGCAGCTCTGTTGGAGTAGAGAATACACACGTCTTCTGGACTATCGATGCCTGGAGGGGAACAAGCACAACCACTCAACTGAGAGACCAGATACAAAAAGAACACATCTGTGATCTGTCATCTGTGAGCTCAGTGTAAAACACTGTCTAACAGCTTCCCATGTGAAAGTAAAGATAGTATCCACAGCAGCTTGGACCTGGAGCTCCTGGCTACAGTGAGGTCAACACAAACAGTTCCATTTAAAAGCATTAGACTGTTCAGAGACGCTGAGAGGGGGAATGGTAGACACATGAATGGATGTGTCCTTCTGGCAGAGTCATTTTCTTCTCTGACCTTTCTTTCCTGAGCCTCCATTGCAGTTTCACAACAGTTAGCAGAGCATCAGTCACTACACACTGCTTCAGTCTGAAAACGAACATCAGCAGCGCTCATACTGAAAAAAGCCAACATCACACATTGTTGTCGGTCAGTCTCACCTGAAGCATCCTTCTGTGACATCATAATAGGTCTCCTCTAATTGTTTTGTCTCGGGTGCTGCCGAAGAAGCCATGACTCTGTGTGTCAGCTGTGAGACTAAAAGTTGGCCGCTTGTTCTGAAGCATGACATTCAATCTCACCTAAAAGCTCCTTGCTCCAACAAATGAATGGTTCTGTCTTGTGCCAACAATCCACTTCAATCACCAATGACCCCTCGTGTGTTAGATCATGTTTGGCTAAAAATGAAAGATTACCAGCTGTCCAAACAGACCTGTGACATATCTGAGAAGTGACATGCACATACTATGCTTCAGGTATTACATAGGATAGAGACTGGGTACATAAATGAAATTGTGCAGCATGGCAGACACTGACATGATGTGTTCATAACTGTGGATTATGGAGACAAATCACAATAATTCAACAATAATTCCCTTAGAGAGCAGATGTATACTGTAGAATAATCATTTTTTAAAGTAGAACATTAAATATGCAGCTGCAGAGATCTATTGATGACAAATCAACAGTTTTGATGACCCGACAAGTCATTTTCTAAGTAAAAGGTTCCATTTCTTTTTAAACCTCTATGATTAAAAAAATAACTGCCATTTTTGTACTCTACCCTAGAGCAAACTTTGGATTTAGAATAAAAAAATCATCATATATCAACTATGTTCTGACACTGTTTGAGCCTAAACTATTATTTGTGTAGTTAAAGGTTCAGTGTGTTTTACGTCCAGATGTATTTGCAGAAATTGAAAATAAAATAATCCTAATGATGTTTTCACAAGTGTTGTTTTCTTTACCCTAGAATGGACCCTTTAAATTCTTTATATTTACCTCAGGAGCAGGTTCTCTCTACGGACACCACGATTTTTCTTACAGAAGACCAGACTGGACAAACTAAACACCTTTTGAGTTTTATGACAACTGAAGGCTGCAACAGGTTCTCCTTCATGTTTGGAAGGGGAGGGTGACGTGAGGGGGAATTCAGCTGCAACATGCTACTCCACCACTAGATGTCACTAAATTCCACACACGGAACCTTTAAGAAAATAATAGCTAGTTGTAGACATCCACATGCTATTGACACGGACAGTCACCGTGTAATTTAAGCTTAAGGTTTCAAGATTTTCCTTCAGCGCACATGTCTGAAGGTACAGATGTGTTATAACCACATGAATACGTCTCTGAGGAAAACAAACTCATATCTCCCCCACCTGCTTCAGCACATCCATTAATAGCCTGTGTGTACTTTTCCAGGGCGTCTCCGAACTGTCCGTGTTTGAAGAGGTGGTTCCCCTCGTTCTTGAGCCGGGCCAGGTGAGGAGGAAGGGCCCCGGCAGGAGCGTCCAGGTAACTCGTGTCCACCGCAGGTCTGTCCCGCTCCTCCTGCCCACCGGCAGGGTCGATTCCCCTCTGAGTGCCATTGGCCACCCCCTTCTGCGGGGCTCTGTGGGGGTTTCCCGTGCCGCCTCCGCCCCGGCTCCTCGCCCCGCTCCCCGCCGAGGCCTGGTCCGCTCTCGCTGCTCCGCTGCCGGAGGGTTTCTCCTGAGCGTTCCCCATGGCTGCTCTCCCTCCGCAGTGAGATCAAACTCTTCCTGCTTCTGCCTCAGAGCTGCAGCTTCATCTGAGGCTGTGCAGGGGATTTCTGCCGGGACCGCCCCCTTTGTGACGCGTCACACGTGATGTCACGTGGGGGGGTGGGGGGGTGGGGGGGCGATGCAGTGCTGCAGCAGGACGAGTCTGATGGAAACACAGACTGTTTATATGGGTCTGATGAGACTGATGAGTCTGATGAGTCTGATGAGACTGATGAGACCTATGGATGGGACAGATCTGATGGCCCTAGCAACAGGCTTATATTGTTTTGTGTTCTTTTATTATCATTAGTGAAGTGAAATAAAACGAATATTCTCTTTCATGAACAAGCTTCTCTTCTTAATACAGCTCACTTTGATTGGCCTTTTTCATTGTAGCTTCTTTTAATATTTGTCTTAGCTCATGAGCCTTTTTTTTGTCCACCTGTCCGTGTTATTTCCTCTTTCTAAAGCACTTCCTAACATTAAGACAAATGCTAAATAAAGTTTATTATTTTATCATTAATGTGTATCAGTACTAAAAAAAATGATGGGTACATCTTTGGGAAAAGGACAGTTGTACATAACACAATGGATTTGTGGATTCACTGTGCGTACTTAGCACAGAGCAATTAGTTGGAATCACCTGTTTTTATAAGAAATCAAAATGGCTGCTGTAGAGAAAATGCAGTTGTTGGAATGAATCATATAAATAATGTCAAACTCCAACTTGTGATAAGTCTTTGTCATTGAGGTTAGTTTAACAAATTCTTATATAGCTAAATGTTTTAGTATGTTACTTAAATAAAGAATAAGGTTTAGCTAATTAATCCCTGTAAGCACAGATTCCGTGGGTATGGCTTGCCATCTGGTGACCTGTGTGAGCACCTGTTCCCAAAGGCCACAGATTCAACTCTTCCGGGTAAAGAATTGCCTTTGGACCCATGAATCCATTTTATAGTTTTGTGTTATCTAATATACCCCAATAATAATAAATTAAATAGAAAAGTAAGATAAACTCTCCCTTCATTCAAAAGCACAACAAACTGCTGCTTCCATAATGACCTTGGAGTTCAATCAATATCTCACTCGTTTAAACATTTAATATATATATATACTTACATATGCCGTGAAAGGTTATATTTTTTGCACTGTTGACTGCATTCGTTTCTGTGAAGTATTTGTATAAACTGCCACTGAATAACAATTTGACTCTTCTGCCTCAAAACAGCCAATGGTGGCTCTTTAAGTTCAAATTAAATAGTTGACAAAAGTTGATTGAAACTCAAAAATTACAAATTTTAACACAAATCTTCATGGCAATGAAAAACTAAAAACGTTCATTGTTTGAATGCTAACTTTAACAAACTTATTTCATGTTACCTCATTCAAACTATTGGCGAAAGACCACCTAAATACCCCTGTGCCTCACTCGCTCTTTCCAAGTGTAAAGAAAAACCTTCACATATCCACTTTCTCCTGTAGAAACGTGTTGGTGCAGCATGGCAGGAATTAACAGAGAAAATGTACAAAATTGCATTTTAAAATAAATGTGTGAACCTAATAGATTTTCCACATCATTCAGAAATACAGTCTGTTTATTTACATCCAAACAAACTACAAAAGTTACACACAACAATAACAAAACAGCTGATCTCATCTTCTTCACCTGGCATCAAAAACAACCACTGAAATCAGAAGTTAAGGAAATGTACATGTTCTCAGTTCATACACAAACACACACAAACCCACACACACACACAGAGAGAGAGACATTTAAAGGATACATCTCTTTGTCCTCTTCTTATACATGATCCTGTAACCGCACTCCCTGCATCGGATTGGATCACGGGCCTTAATTTCATTTTCAGTGTGACACTCTGCAATTTCAGACAGAATAATATTAGTTAGAGCAGAACATTGCTGAAAAGATGATTTCCAAAGCACTTCAAATTGCTTCACATCTGAATGGTGTGAAATCAATAAACCTGCTTTGCCTTTACTTGTATGAAAACCAAATGTTGGTTCATCCAGTGTGGGCAGAGCTGTAAGCGTGACATTAACAACAACATCTGAATTCATAGCAACTAACTGGAATACATGGACCTTAAAGTACTAATGAATTATGAAGTAAGAATGCTTGTAAATATTAGCATTCGGTCCATTAGTACGGTAGTGATGGGTCAGTTCTACTATAAGAGTAGAACAAGTTATTAGAGTATGTATTTAGTATAGTATGTAGCTGTAACGTTAGCATGTACTGGTAGAAAACGTACCTCCACATATGTAGATCATGGGCTGCTGCTTGGGGGGTTGCACATCTTTCGGTGCGTCCATTTTTGATCCTATAACACAACAAATGTACGATGTGTTAGCATCGTCACAGCATGCTAACACAGAAACGGCATGGTTAGCTTAAACCATCACAACCGGAAGTCCTAATGAAACACAAGGGCCTTTAAGACATCACAAAAAGTCTTGTGTGTGAAGAGAAAATGATAAATTCGTGGAAGGAATCCACAAAAAAACATTTCTCATTGTTTTAATACATCAACAGTAGCTGTTTACCTCTTTCCCTCACACACCGCTGCTATGTGCGCATGCGTACAAGCGTCCAGTCGACCTCCAAGCAAAGTGGACTGTGATTGGTCAGAAAGCACCTCTCCTCATATATAGCATATTATTGCTTCTGTACAAAACAAAGCCGACATTGTGGATATAGAACAGATCAACGTGTATAACAGTAGTTTTTATATGGTCTATTATTGGTTGATTATTCCAGGATTCTAACTCTGTGGACATGGAAGCTGCGGTGTTTCTGTTTCGCCCTCCGGCCGGACAGGGGGCGCTGTGGTGAGACAGCATCCCCAGACGGCCCATCATCTGACGGACGCTCAGCTGGCCCTCCACCACTTTTTCACAACAGAGACTCGGTGGACAATGTTCACATCGTGACCAGTGGCCCCCAAACTGTTCGAATTCACCGCCAGTCCTCTGCCTTGACATCATCTGACGCTGTGCGACATGGAGCCAGCTGCGCCCAAAAGGTCTGTGCTCCTTCTGCTGGTTTAAAACGCGTCTACCGACTAGCTAAATGGCTAACGTAGCTGCCGCCGCTTAGCAAGCTAGCCTGATGCTAACTTCGCTTTACCGGTTTTCTCTCAAACTTTCCGTTAAAACGACCGAACGGGTTTAACGATCCCATTCCACCCAGATCGCAAACAACTGTGTTGAAACTTGTTGTGGGTTTCAGGCCTGTGTCCTGGTGTCTGTAACTTTTATTGAGCAGTTTGAGCTGTGGTCTTTTTAGACATGAGTCAGAATCATGTTATTGCCGAGCAGGTTCACATATACAAGGGATTTGCTGTGATGTGTTTGTGCAAGTATAAAGATAAAACAAATTAAAAAGGATACGAAAGTATCAGGGGAGGGGTTGTGAAGTGTCACACACAGGGACAGAACCTCCCTGTGGGACTCTTTGGTTTACTTTTCCCTGTCATGTGTAAACTGTTTGTCTGAATTTCACTAAACACCACAGGAGCAGTTTCCAATAAAGAGGAACTGAGAGCTGGGGGAGTTTGTGTCTTGAACATGATCAATGTAAAATGTTTTTCCTAGTCTGAGCGGTGCTTTACTGTGTAGACTTCTTCACTTCTTCTTTTATTTTGATCCACATTATCTTCTGGCTGCTAACTGATGGTCCAACAAAGAGTTTCACTACTTGTTTTTAGTTAAACTGTTAAACAGATATTACAAGTGAATCGTTTAAATTTTTACAGCAAGCTGAAAAAGCTGAGTGAAGACAGTCTGACCAAACAACCGGAGGAAGTGTTTGATGTTCTAGAGAAACTTGGTGAAGGGTAAGACGATGCTGTCATGACTCACTTCCATTTTAACATCTTTTGACTGAAAGGGTTAAATTGACCTCTTTTGCTGTGTATTGCATGTTGTTAATATTTAAAATTTGTGGGTTTTGTGTTTAGTTCCTATGGCAGTGTGTTCAAAGCCATTCATAAGGAGTCAGGCCAGGTCGTGGCCATTAAGCAGGTTCCTGTGGAGTCTGATCTGCAGGAGATCATCAAGGAGATTTCCATCATGCAGCAGTGTGACAGGTGGGGTGATGAACCAGATTTACCAAAATCCCTGCATTTATGACATATATATGTAAAAAAAACTCATTACCCTGCAGCATTAACAGTCATCTGTTGTCTCACTTCTGCTCTTTTTGTCTGAAACGAAACTTTGTCTTCTCTTTTGATAATACTGTGTTTTGTGTTTACTTCTAGCCCTTATGTAGTGAAATACTATGGCAGCTACTTCAAGAATACAGACCTTTGGATTGTCATGGAGTACTGCGGAGCTGGCTCTGTCTCTGACATCATCAGACTGCGCAACAAGACGGTGGGTGCTCACAAAGTTACAAGTTCTAACTGCCTCTGTGTTCAGTCTGTGTGTGTGTGTGTGATATCTTTTAGAAAGAGTATATGAAGTGATTTATAATATGCAGTATATTCTACATTAAGTAAGTTTAATATAAGTAACATAGGACACATGTTGACATCAACCACATTCTTATCCTCAGCTGACAGAGGATGAGATTGCCACCATCCTGAAGTCCACTCTGAAGGGTCTTGAATATCTCCACTTCATGAGAAAGATCCACCGGGACATCAAGGCAGGAAACATCCTTCTTAACACTGAGGGACATGCCAAACTGGCAGATTTTGGAGTAGCTGGACAGCTAACGGTAACGTTAAAATTCATGTTGCTCATTCACTGGTTTTGTGAACCCATATGAGGTGATTGATAATTTAGTGTATATTAATTACAAAAGTGTCTATTTTCTCTCTAAAGGACACCATGGCGAAGAGAAACACGGTGATTGGTACACCATTCTGGATGGCACCAGAGGTGATCCAGGAAATTGGCTACAACTGTGTGGCAGACATATGGTCCCTGGGTATCACTTCTATAGAGATGGCAGAAGGAAAACCTCCCTATGCTGACATCCATCCCATGAGAGTGAGTGAAAACATAATTATAAGAAGTGGGTCCCAAATCTAACTTTTTCTGTAACCCTTCCTGACTGTCTTGTATATTCTCCGTGTGTTTCTTCAGGCGATCTTCATGATCCCCACCAACCCTCCTCCAACATTCAGAAAGCCTGAGCTTTGGTCCGACGAATTCACAGACTTTGTCAAGAAGTGTCTGGTCAAGAATCCAGAGCAGAGAGCCACTGCAACCCAGCTCTTACAGGTTGGAGGAAGATATACGCACACCTGCAGAGAAATAAACATATATAAGCTCTGGGTGTACACCCTAAAAGACTTGATACTGTAGAAATATATTTATAAAACACAACTAAAAGATGTATAGGTATGTGTATTTGTTATCACTCAATAGTAACCACACAACAATCTTTTCTTTTCTTTTAACATCCAGCACCAGTTCATCACCCAGGCTAAGCCAGTCACAATTTTGAGAGACCTGATAACTGAAGCCATGGAGATGAAAGCTAAAAGGCAGCAGGAGCAGCAGAGGGAGCTGGAGGAGGAAGATGACAACTCTGTATGTATAACGAGACTCTGTTCCACTCAGCGTAACCATGAGAAAGCTATAGTTGTGTATGTGAAGGCTTGTCTTGTGTCATCCAGGAGGAGGAGACTGAGGTGGACTCTCACACCATGGTGAAGTCAGGCTCAGAAGGTGCAGGAACCATGAGGGCCACCAGCACCATGAGTGACGGAGCACAGACCATGATCGAACACAGCAGCACCATGTTGGAGTCAGACCTGGGCACTATGGTCATCAACAGCGATGATGAAGAGGAGGATGAAGACCAGGGATCCATGAGGAGTGAGCACACACATTAATTATTGGGAATTACCTAATTGGAGCAGAGATTAGAGAAAATATACAATAGTTCCTTAAAAATAACAGGATCATTCTGAGACGGGGGAAAAGTAACAAAATCTGTTTGTACGAGATAAGGAAAGAGGACTGAGTGCTCAAGAAAGGAGATATTTAAATGACTATAGTAATCACATTGACACCGTCACTCTATTTATGGAGACTCACATTCTAGCACCACAGAGTTCGAAGCAGTCACTGTTGTGCTTGAAAGGAATCTGCTAGAGAAGGCCATGATGCAAAAATAAGACTCACAGAATGGGTTGTAGGTCAATGAGGCATCCATATGTCTGTTTCTGAAAAACAATTAAACACGTTTGTGTTAAGTTTGAACTTGATCCTCTTTATCCTCCACAGGGCACGCCACCCCCCAGCAGCCGATACGTCCATCCTTCATGGACTACTTTGACAAGCAGGACTCCAACAAGGCAGCCCAGCAGCAGGAGAACTACAACCACAACCAGCCGCAGGAGCAGCCAGGCTACCACATTCAGTCCAAAAACGTCTTCCCTGACAACTGGAAGGTGCCTCAGGACGGAGACTTTGACTTTGTGAGTAATGTCTTCCATGAGCCTTTTGTGGTAGGGGGGTTACTCATAGTGGAAGTCGGTGTACAACAGTGGTAAAAATAACAGAAGCATTAGACACTAAATACGACTCATCTCTTTCCTGTCACCCAGTTAAAGAACCTGGACTTCGAGGAGCTCCAGATGCGTCTGAGTGCCTTAGATCCCATGATGGAGCGGGAGATTGAGGAGCTCAGGCAGCGCTACACGGCCAAGAGACAGCCCATCCTGGATGCAATGGATGCAAAGAAGAGACGGCAACAGAACTTCTGAGTGATCCTCCCTGTCACCTTCACACCCGGGACTCTAAAAGCCACAAAAAACACAAAACGTACGTCCTAATGACTTGATGGGACGAAGATGACTCCACTGACTTTTTTTTTAAGTCGACTGCTGTTCTGACATAGTGGCCTGTGACTGAAGAGAGATGTTTCTTCTTCACTCTGGCTCCTGGAATCCACACTAACAAGCCTCTGTCCAGATGCTGTTCCTTCAATTTAAATCTTAATTTAGTTTCTCCAGTCTTGTAAAGTTGTGTCTCCTAAATGAAGCTCAAGTCTGCAGCCAAAGAGAGAACCAAGTCTGTTGATTACACATCCGGAAGTGAAAATTATTGATTTCACCTCCTCTAAAGAAATGTCCCTTTCACATCTGATAGAAAACCGTCTTGGGGAGTCAGCATTAAAACAAAAGAAAGGACAACCAGGCCAACACTACACCAAGCCTTGTTAGCAGCAGGGGCGGTGGTGTAGACAACAAGTGTTCTTTTTTCCCTCAGACTTTGTAACTGTAAATATAACATAGAGCCTAGTTTGGAAATACCTGCAACATAAAGCTATGGAGGTTCATCCATGACCAAAGACAATCAAGGTGATGCTTCAGTTGAGAATGCCTTAAAACATATTTGAAACCTGGTTTTCAAAATAAGCAATGTAGTGAAACAACCAAGTCGTCATTGGTGGTTGAATACTTCCTTTCTTGGAGATGAGTTGGACTCTGCAAATGTTTGTCAGAATGGACAGAGATGACAAATCATTTGGTGAAGAGTAGATCGTGTGTTTTCACTTGTTTTGTGGACCAGAAAATTCTAAACTTATTTCAATATAGTCTTATTATCATTATTTAATTTTGTTGTTTTTAAATTTGATGTTCTGGGCTTCTTTATCACAGCCAAGTCGGTCTATACTGATGGATACCATGGATCTTAGTGCCTCATAACTCACACCTGCATCCTTCTGGCACACATCACCCACTCTACGTGAATTTAAAATCTACAACCTTACTTAACGGATGGTTTTTTTTTTTAATGCAAGGCGTTACAGAAAGTCAGAAGAATTATGATTTCCCTACAAGCTTAAGCATTCCTAAACAACGACTGTTTTATTATCAGTGTGAGCTGTAACAGTGAAGTGAGTTAATTAAACCAGTTCACCAGTTCACTTGAGTGACTGACTGATGCTGTTTACTTTAGTAAAAAACGAGCGGCTGCACCAGCCTCATATCTCCAGTCTGAGTTTCAGACATCAGATCATTATTATATCCTTTTGCATTAAGATCATTTCCCTGCAGCTTATCCGTACGTATGTATCAGCAACTCTGAATATGATTTCCTGACATATCGAGTGTGTGGTGTCATTGATGAAGTAATGAAGATATGTTGCTACAATTTGTATTACAGACAAATATTCAGCGTGTTCATCGACTGATGTGACATTGCCCCTTTGTCAAATTATAAGAGGTTTGTATGATGTTAAAGCTAACTTCATTAGCTGTAATGCAGAAATGCCAATCATAACGCTACATTGAGTAACATTTTTTATTTAACAGTAACATATTTGGCTTGGCTCGTATCTCGGTAACAATTCTTAAAAAAACAAGTTCAAAGGTTCTGATCAGAAACGGGGATGTTCTCCTTTTTGCTCTAAAATGTTTTTTGATTTTGATCCTAACCAACCTATCAAACATTTGTTTTCTTCATGAAGAAATCAGGTTTCGTGTCACTTGGTTTTGATGAGTCATGCTAATGCTAATTATGACACTTTGAATGAATCCAGACTGTCATCGTCTGCAGGTTGCTGTTACATTTGAATGTTGATAATATGATACTGTTCTAAATAGACCTGTTACACTGTCTTACTGTGTCTTATATGATGGACAATGAGGCTGAATGGTTAAACACATGAATCTCAATCACCACTATCTATTAATGCTCACGTTTGAACTTGTTATTTTTCTGCTTTAACATGAACCTCTTTCACAATACTCATTAATATTCTTGCCATTGTTTTCGTGAATCAAGACTACAGCATATTGGCAACACAAGCATTCACACTATTTATTTAACGCTTCAACCTCTTTTTTTTTCGTGACACTGGTTTAAATACAGAAGCTGATTTGACTGTTTCACATTTTGACCCTCTGTCGGATATATTGTGTGTTAGACTATGCATGTTCATAATTATCTTTGCTCTGTAGTGGAATGCTCTTATATTAACTGCACAGGTAAGGAGTATTGTTTATATGGAAGATTGATTATTTTCACAGCTTTTAATTATTGAATAAAAAATATTTGCTCTGTAAAAAAATGAAAAGCCCAGTTTGAAACATGACATTGTTCAGAACTGATCATGTTGTGTATCTAAAAATCACTTCTTTTTTTTTTTTAACTATATAGCAACATGATTTTGTCTTCATTTATGAATTGAGGTTTAGGGTGGAATGTAAGCATTTCTGTTTGAACCACTTAATTTATTATGTTTGTAAGACTTTATAACGTTTTGAAAAAGTGCAAGAAATAATAAAAGTTACTTATAGTTAACCTGACCTGCAGTGGAATGTTTTTATCTTATCTCTGAATTCATACGTGGAGACTTGAACATCTAAGCTCGAGTGGTGCTCAGTGTGTACCTGTGCCAAGGCCGAACAATTCTACACACGATTGTCTAGTTTTGTAGAATAATGAAAGAAAAGAAACACATGAAACATATTTACTTAGCTGTGTGTATTTTCTCAAGAGAAATACACATCACACAGTAAAACATGTGTTAAAGTACCCACCCTGTAAAACTACTACAGAAGCACATGACACCGGTTCTACCGTAACTCTCTGAATACAAACGCACCTATGTTTTTCTGTTTCCACGCTGTTTCCTCCAGGAATCGCCTACAAAAAACCCTGCGTGCTCCTCCCAGCAGACATTGCGGCAAAGTTTATGTCAGCTGTTCCTTTTTTGTCCCTGGCTGTTCACTTAGTTGTTGCACAACACGACCTTCGTTCATTGCTTCTCTCTGTGGTGCAGCAAGAAACCATCAAGAAACATGTCTGCGCTCCTCAGAAAGACCATCAACACCAAATCCGCCCCGGCAGCCATCGGTCCGTACAGGTAGGACCAGATTATTAACATGTGCTTTAATTGTGCTCACAGCGACACGTGGTGCGCAGAGAGGTTTGATGAGCCCGGTGTGTGACCAGAGCAGGGGCGGATCTCTGTGATCAATAAACTGACCAAGAGCCAAAGTTGAACTTGGAGCAGCAGAGCAGGAGAAGAACTGCAGAGAGGAAACATCTGTAGAAATCTCAGAGAGGAAACATCTGTAGAAATAAATATCTGTAGAAATAAATATCTGTAGAAATCGACATCTAGAAGTCTCAGAGTAGAAACTATGGCATCTCTCCGTCGACAGGTTCCTTACACACCTAAAGCTCCAATCAGACAGGGAATATACAGGTAAGAATCAATCTGCTCTGAAAAACTGATTCTTATCTGATATCGTTACAAAATACCGTTTCGGTTCGTAATAACTCAAAACATATGTTTCCCGTTTTCAGAAATCATAAATGAATGTTTAATTCCTGGTCAAGTTTAAGTTTTGTTCTTTCATTCAATCAGAGTGAGAATGAAGGGGTGTTTCTGCCGGGACCAATAGGCTGCAAGTGGGCGGAGACAGATCAGACTGAATTCAATGTGCTGACTTGTGATCGTCTGTTGTTTTCAGGGGGAACAAATTCATTCACTTTCATTAACTTCAGACATTGTTAAAGTAAATGAATGACTAGGTGAAGTAAACATGATAGTAACAGTAATGATAATTACGTAGAACAAAATATATATATTATAATCTGTACTACTCCAGCCCCATACACTGTGTATTTACTAAGCATAGCACGAGAGTACTGTTATACTAACTGACAATTATGTAGACATCACTGAATCATTCCTGAGATACACTGAACATTGCAGATAAATTAGCGCTACATCTTTTATCGTGTGTCTCCTCAGTCAGGCGGTGGTTGCGGACAGAACCGTGTACATCTCCGGTCAGCTGGGGATGGATGTGGCCTCAGGTCAGCTGGTGGAAGGAGGAGTCCAGGCCCAGGCCAAGCAGGTGAAGCTCATAGAGGCTGATGATGATGTAGTAACGATGAAGCAAGTGGAGCCAAACAGCTTGAAGTACAATAGAATCCTCACGTGCTATAATACTGAGAGGATTCTATTGTACTTCAAGCTATGTGGTGCTACTTGCTGCAGATACTCGACTCAAGGTGACTATACGTCACGTGAGCATTGTTATTATCTCTGTGAGAGTGGAGACGTTACATCTTATCCCAGCGTCAGGGTCGGGAAACAGGTTGGCACCTCAGAACTCAAGAGATAACATGTTTTAATCAAACACTTCACGGCCTCTGAACCGCACAGAGAGACAGACCTTTGGTCAGACATAATAACTGTAGACATAAAGTTTCTTTTTTTTCTTTTTCATTTTCATTCTTATGGCATATGAAATGATTTAAAATGCCACCACCGAATAAAAACATAGACAGAGCGTCAAAGATAAGAATGTGAAAGTCCTCAGGGTGGATAGGAAAGGATTAATCTTATTAAATTAACAGATTGGCTATTATAAATAAAGAACATGGAGATGGTTCGAGTATTGATTGACCTCCCTCCCCCCCTCTCACCCCTCAGGCTCTTATCAATATGGGGGAGATCCTTAAAGCTGCAGGTTGTGACTACACCAACGGTGAGATTTAAATACGACCTGACTGTTTATGTGTTTGACTGTTTTCACCAAACTAAACATGAACTCTTTTGTTTCAGTGGTGAAGACGACTGTGCTGCTCGCTGACATAAATGACTTCAACAGCGTCAATGAGGTCTACAAGACATGTGAGTAAATAATGCTATGCAACAAAGCCGATATTAATAGATGTGCAATAGATTTTGGTTTTCTAACAACTGACTTGTTTTCTTTTAATTACGATCTTCTAAATATATAAAAGCAAACACATGGGGGCAGCATGTAACCAGGGAAGACCTGCTGTAGTATCACTGGTCCATCATGTCAACTTCACAAACAGCTTTTTTAGCAAAGCTTGACAGAGGACGTTTAATAAAACTAAGAGTTAAATCATAAATCTTGCTCTGATTTAAAGATTTGTGACGTTAAAATAAACCCACCATTATAACAAACTTATATATTCTAATGAAACAATGTAAAAGCCTGTAATAATTCCAGCGGCACGCTCCAACCATCCTACCTGTGAGCCGATGAGACGATTCACTGGCTCATATTCCACTGACATCTCTCAGAAAATGGCTGCTGACAGGTTTGGCAGTCAGCTGACAGACGGATTCACTCAGCTCTTCCTCAGCTGGACGAGAGCAGTGTCCTCCTCACGCTCGGCCCGCTCATTTCCTCCTGCATCACAGCAGACAGGTGTAATGGAAGCTGCGGTGCCCAGTGAGTTGTAAACGGACACCCGATGTGCGGGCCCACGGGGGAAACTCGACCCCTCCTGGCGAGCTTTGCTGCGCGGACCATTGCCTCTGCTACAAGGCCCGAGCTCGGTCTCTCCTCCAGACTCTACTCAACCCTAAACCACAGGCAGGGAACTTTCCCTGACCCTGATAAGAGCAGAGCACACGTGTCCACAATGATACTGTCATGTCGACTTAGAGATTTCAAGCTGCAAGTTAAGACTCACACCTGCAGCCAAAGTTTTGTCTGATCACTTGTATTTCAACCAAAAAACCAAATATGGAAATGTATTTCTCTTATAAAACTGAAGTATGAACTTAACAACTACAACCATAGGCATAGTTGTATGTAATATATAATTAAACACAGTTTTAATAATTCAAACATTGTCTTTCTAGGTACAGATCCACCAATTACAACTGAAACCATCCTCATATCCTCTTATAGTTCCACTTAATCTAATCTAGTGCTTATATATTTGTGTTGTTTTCTCTCCAGTTTTCACCAGTAACTTTCCTGCCAGAGCTGCTTACCAAGTCGCTGCTCTCCCCAGAGTGAGTACCAACAGAACCTGTGTTATCAGTTCAGAGCTGCAGCACCCTGTGACCCCGTTTAGATCTGCTATTAACATCTGTCCTGAGTGGTGCGATCACAAGTGGTCAACGCTAAGGGCATGTCCGAGTGCACCCGAATGTGTCCGGAGGTCCGATCACTCTGACCACATTCGTCGGTCGCCCGGGGCGCATGTGACCACATAAAACCGTTTACACATCTGATAACTCAAACAAGGTGAAAACAACAGGAATGATGGTAGTGGTGGGTTATTTGCATACAGAACAGGGAAGTGAGATCCAATCACAAGTGGCCACTGGAAATGCATTCTGGAGTAAGTAAAGCAGCAGACCCTGTTGTCAGTGTTTCTCTGTCTCTGTCTTCAGGGTGGACTGGTGGAAATCGAGGCGGTCGCTGTTGTCGGACCTCTCTCAGACTCCTGACTAACCGGCCCCATCACAAACAAGTTATAGACCAACCGCCAAGTGGACTAAGAGTTGTGCTGCTGAGGCCTCGTATTTCCACATGACACATAAAAGAAGTTCTGTTGTTGCCTCTGCGGCTGGTTGACTGCAGCAATAAAGTGTTTTTAGTATCATATCAATGGAAAACTACTGATCTTCACATTCAAATTCTTACAACAACAGAAAACTTAACATCTTACTCGACTTTAGATTCTGGTTTAAGGTCATTTCAAACTGTGCATGAAACTGGTTTAATTAACTCACTTTCTTTAGTTTTGTTCCATTAAAACATTGGAAATTAATTCAGTTTGAATTAATAAATGACCATGAATTTGTTATTCTCACAATATTCATATTTTCTTTAGCATAATAAAAAAGATACACATGATTTCAATTTAAGGTGGCTCTTTTAATTAATTAAGTCAATAGCTTATGACAGATTTCAGGTTTACTTTCCAGAGAGAAATCATGACACATCAGAAACAAAACAAAAAAACCCTCTCACATTAATCAGTGCTCAGTAAACCTACAGTGTGCCAGCTCTTCATATTCGTTGTACAATCAAAGCCAGCAACTCAAATGCTCAAATTATTATTTCATAAATCAAATATACTTTTGGCTTTGGTTTCAGTAGAATTACATAATTTAGTAGAAAACTAAAGAATAAACTCTTCAGGTTAAAGTTAGATTACAGACTATTATAAATGTCTATACACCTAATAAACAGTTTACTGAATAATTTGATGAAACACACTAAGTGCTGCAGATCTGTACAGGTTACGAGCAGAAATACAGGAGGGGGAAGAAGGCACAGTGATGACTGAGGAACCCTGACTGAAAGTGGTTATCACAGGGTCTGCATCTTGGCAACAAGGCGATGTCTGTTTCACACTCACATTTACGCATTCTGTCACTAATATATTCGAACAAGTGAAGAGCTCTCCAGCCGATTAATCTCTGCTGGCGTCCACATTGTACTTCACTCGATGGGAGCTGGAAACAAAAAGAGGGAAACTGGTCAGACTGTGTGTGTGTGTGAGACATTGTTAAAAGTGCACATATACTCACCTGGTGCCTCCTCAGGTTTCGGGTCTGAATCAGCCCCCGTGGCCTCTGGTGCTTTTTCTGTTATGGAAGATGCACAACAAAAACAAACGTGGTCACATTTAAAAGTGTGGAGCTCAGAGACTGAACGAAGTCGAATGTTTCATACATCCATCCAATGTACTTCAAAGGGGCCAAATGTATGTGTCCAACGCCCATGCATGATTTCAGTAAGATGCACATTTGAGTCATTCCTCGTTTACCATTGGCTTTATAGCTTTATTTTGAAAATTGCTCCTTAAAAAACCTTAGAAAACACAAAAAAAAAACTTCAGTCCCAAATTCCAAAAGATTTTGAGACCACATATTGCAGACTTGGAACCTGGACTGAAAAGTCACAGAGCTGAACGTCTCCTTAAGCAGAAACATTAATTATTCAGCCACGATTAAATCCAAAGATGTGAAATCCCAGCAGTGAACAACAAGTGAAAACATGCATCTCTCATTCAATCACATGCTTCATTCTCAGTTTTCCCTCAAAGGCTTGTGATTACAGATTCTTTAAAAAAAACAATGGATCCCATCCCTGACCGCTAACACATCCAGAAGTGGATGCAGTGCCATGTCGGGGTCTGTTAATGTGACACCTGATCCTCTCTCTCCATTGGCTGTGAAATGGAGGCAGGGAGGCTCAGCGGGCCTGACATCGCTCGTCGCCGGCGGCAGCCCAGTATGTGTTGACATGCTCCAGTTTCTCTGTGGACTCCAATTGCACCTTATTGACACACACCAGTGACAAAGTCTCCACAACACACACACACACACACACACACACACACACACACACACACACACACACACACACACACACACCTTGCACTCTCCGCAGTGGCCACTCAAACAGGGCTGTGGTCAAGCTAGTCAGGTTGGACACCGAAGGGGGTCGAGATCAAGTGAAGACAAAGGTCAGCGAGTGTCCAAGTTTCAACCTCAACAAGAGTCTATCTCTTGGTAACAGATCTCTCCTGGTTAAACAAAGTGTAGCACACAAGGCCATGTTTTCCATTTATGTCAGGGACAATCAAACAAATAAATCATGTGAATCATGGGATCCCAGAAACATCTTTTGTCTCTGATAACATGTTTTTCTCTGCTGCCTTTAATGAAAGTTACACTTGATATATTTTACATATCAACACGGCCAGGAGGAAAAACATACCAAAAACAGATTTTCAGATAATCCTCACTCACTCAAACTCAATTAGAAAACAGTGAAATAAAATAGTACAGTTCATAAAATTAAGAATTTGTTCCATTAATTCACTGTGACCTGATGACAAGTGTGATGTGTTGAGGCTGCTCCTTGATCCCAACCAAATCATTAAATGTGTGACTTATAAACACATTCCTGTGGCCACTGGTGTGTTCATTAAAGGACAAAGTTGCGTGTGTGTGTGTGTGTTGTTGGATACCGCCTGGTTACCGGCATCGCGGTGATACCAGGGAGGGTCGAGGAATCAGACCGAGGGGACGTTCTGTACCTGCATGGTTGGCAGCCTGTGTTCACTGTGTCACCGTGCAGGAGGCAGAGCGGTGCTCAGGTTACTGCTGGTCAATGGAGACATTTGGTCCCTAATAAGTTCCTCTTCCCTCAGTGGGACGCTTGATTGTTTTATGGCTTTGGTTGCAGGTGCAGATTTATAATGTCAAGAGAAAAATAGCTGAATCTCAGGTGGTTTCAATGAAAGTCATTGACCTTGTTTTCAGTTCACGCCAACCTACCGTGCTCTGGAGCTGCAGCTGGAGGTTCTGAGGAGCTCACTGGCGTCTCCGTGGTGCTATCTGCTGCGGGTTCTGTTGGTTCTTCTAGTGCTGGTGGATCTGCTGGTGGTTCTGCTGGTGCTGGTGCCTTGGCAGGCGGACTGGCAGATGCAGCATTAGCCTCCTCTGCTGCTGGTGGAGCTGCAGATGTGGCATCCGCAGCAGGTTCATCAGCGGCGCCACCAACAGCCGGGGTTTGGTCCGGGAGAGTTTCACTGTCCTCTGCTACATTTCCATTCTTGTTGGCTGTCATTATGAACACAGTATGAACACAGGACATGAGCCAAACAAGACAGTTTGAAACTCAGTCAGATTTATCATGGATCTAATACTGCAGTGAAATCTTCAGAATTCGTGAATAACACACGAATTCTGATAGATGAATGTCACTTTCTAAAGTTCTGCAGGCTTTTGTGGATTGTAAGATTATGTGACTCAGATATTTTCATAGCATGAATTCTGTTGTGTGCTATAATTTAAGAATGTGGTTAATATAAAATAACTTTATCTGGTGCCTGTTGATGACTCATACAAGCCTCCGATGATTGTACTCCAGTCTCTAACCACTGGACCTTGCACAGATTCCACTTTCACCCGAATCGAGGAGCTCATAGCATTGTGTGCAGTTTCCTGAAAACACAATTATACCTGTATATCCCTGAAACAGCTGAAGTATAAAACATATGCTGCTACTTGTAGTGAAAGTGAGAACAATGGCGTAAAGAAACAAATACTAGGAGCCAGACAGACTTAACAGCGGCTCTGTGAACATGTTGCTGTGTGTTATATACTGTATACTAAGTAACACTTCCTTCCTTCATAAAGATTTGAATAGGAAATATTTGCATAGATCTTGACTTTTTTTTAAAGTTGCATGAGGCAAAGACAGTTCCTTTAAATAGAAATGATGTCAGGAAAAGATGAGTGACTTTGGCAACGTGGACATCTGCAAAAGATTCCTGTATAAATTAGACATCATTTCCAAAACTGGAGCATTTTGCAAATTTGCCACGAATTTCCTGCAGCAAGGCTCCCTCAGTAAACACTGTTCTTAAGCCTGTCAGTAATTTAACATTACTATGATAAAAACTTTTTCAGTTGTGATTGTTAAGAAGAATAAGTGGATCAATGTTTCAGCTGAAGGTGCAGCTGACTAAAGGCCTCCTCTCTTCAAGTGTTAAACTATCTACTTCCTCAAAATGAGGTTAATAAATGTCACCCCGGAAGTGACAAGCATCATTAAGAAAAGGAAATTAGCCACTCGCAAATAGAAAGACACATCCTGATAAATTTGCATTTGACCTCTAAGACAACAGCGACAGTGTCACTAGGTTTAAGCTCTTTCCATCTGGCCACAGATACAGTTTCCAATATGAAGGTCAATTAGATAGGAAAATAATTTGTCCCAGCTGCCATTGGCCAAGTTATTGTGATGCTAATTCATCGAGACCCAGCAGTTGATGTTCTCATGTTCTTTTAAGTCTTTTATATTGTATATTTTGTCCATCTCTTGTGTTCAGCAAGATGTTTGTGTGGGTGTCTGTGCTTCAAATTGACCAAAGGAAACAATAAAGACATATCCTTTATATTATATATCCATTCACATTAGTGATTCACCTTTCTGGAGGTCAGACACTTGTTCTGCTTATTATGAAAGAACTTAAAGTCACATTTATTGACGATTCAAACAATGGATTACATTTGCCCATCACTGTATTTACCAGTTCCTCCTCAGCACCCCAGCCGGGTCCATCTCTAACCCACAACAACAAAGGGGTGCCTAAAGTGGCTTCTCCATTTCCTGTTGAAACTGTAGACTGTCATCAAATCTGCCTTCATGCCACTGTCTCGCTCAGTGGAGGACGGGGCCAGAGACCAGTGTTAAACAATGGCAATAAACTTTCTCGTCCTGTCACTGTGGAGCCGTGACTCAGTGAAAATAAAGAAGCCAGGTACTGTGCCCAGAGGATTACACTGACGTTCATTTGCATGCAGACTGTATCAGAGAAGTGATCACTACAGTATAACAGAATGGATGATGCAACTCTATATGGAGGCAGCAGTGAACTTCCAGGACCTCTACCTGTTAGCGTGTCATTCTTAGCATCTACTGCTTTTATCAATACATCTATTGATACAAATCATAATAATCATAAATATAATATAAAACAATCATATTAAATTCCATCAAACCTTTATATACATTGACATATGTGATATAAAAGTGGACATTTTGATATTATATTACATATGTAGCAGCCATACACATCTCTATAGTGCAACAAGGAAGAAATACTGATAATTTCACATTATACAAATTATTGTATTACTTTACATACAATTTGTGGCTCTATTGAAAGTCAAAAATAAAGTTTGGAATAGCTTCCACATGTATTTGACGGCATGATATGATTTTGACAAAGTTAATAGTCCCTAAAATACTTGTTTGGCCACTTAACATATGTTTGCAATAAATGGTACCTGTCTGCATTGATGTAATTTTCCAAATATCCAATTATAATTATATGAATTATTTTTAAAATATGTGAGTTTAAATCTTACGTCACCTATGGTGCTGGTTCCGTTGCTCTCCTCGGGCTTCGCACTGGGTCGAGTCGTGTCCACAGCTGAAGTTTGGGAGCTGGTGGAGCATCCCATCCTGTCCTGTGCGCACAGAGGACTGGATGGAGAAGTTCAGAGTGCGGAGGTGAGGCTGGAGCTGCGCTGGTGACGTGGAGCATTAGATATCTCTCTCTGTAAATGGAGAAGAGTCCCAAACTGTGGCCGGTGAATCCCCTGGAGGAGAATCCCTAAAGACAGACTGGTCGTGCCGTCAAATTCCTCTATCCTCCTGCGCGTAATTGCGCACCGTGGAGCTTCCTTGTCTCGGACGCACGTTTCAAAACAAGGTTTTTGTTGTGTTCTGTAACTTAGGCTGTTTCCAAGAGGCTGGCGCAGGGACGAAAATACATTATTCAGTCAGTGTGTGTGGCGGCGGCCTCCTCTTGGGGCGGAGAAAGTGAAGCTGGCATTTTCCTCACCACACCAAAGGAACACATGAAAGCATGGCCAAATGTTTCCCTTGAGCATTAATCTTAATCCAGAGTTAATTGGGGAGGAAACTGCCTCACAATCAGAACCACAATTTCCACTTGTAAGGAAAACCCCTGCATTCATAGTCTCACTGAAATACAAACGATAAAAAATAACTTGCATCATCTCAAGACCCCTGGTACAGATAGATGAAGTAAATACTCAAATACATAATAATACATATTATGTTTGTGTTGTGGAGTGGAGTCACCAAGTTGTATTAAAACTCAAGTAAAGTACAAAACCCTTAAAACTCCTCTTACTTTTAAGATCTAGGTTTATATTTTACATCCAAGCACGTGATCACATGCAGTTAAATAACTCGTCTGCCTGCAGCCTTATCTCTTCTTTCATTTGAATGAAGCTTTGAATGCAGAAGACTCAGATAAAACCTAATTTAAATGATTTTATTTGCAGCCTGTTGTTTTACAGCTGGAACACTTCTACACCTCTCGCTGTGTGATTCCCTCACATCAGTGTCAGTGTAGTTTTGTGAGATGAGTCGGTTTGATCGACTAAAACATCCACTCACGTGCAGCGAGCGACCTGCGCAGTAAACCTCTGCGCAGCTCCTCCGACCACATACCGCCGCAGTGCACCACGGTCCTTCCTTTCTCTCCGAGGCCATATTGGAGTATTCTCACCGTAAGACGAGCTCTGCGTTTTCTCAATAAAACTCACATTTCCCTGCTTGTTCTCACTCTGTGTTTTCAGCCACACGTTAACGAAAGTCTCCTCCTCCCCTCCCTGTCGCAGGTTGGCCTGTCCGGACTAAACCGCAAACATGGTGGCCGCAAAGAAGACGGTGAGTGTCTGGGGAGGGCTCGGGCCGTGCCGCACGCTGCTTCACGTGGACTGGAGTATCTGTCATGGGCCTGCTAGCTAGCTAGCACCGCGACAGTCCTTATACACTATCACACACTGCTCGTATTTAATGTGAATTGTTGAATCGCCGCGGCTGTAAATATTTAAAGCAACATATCGCTGCTGTTCTCTCTCGTTGCAAATCCGCATGTTTTATCTGATCTAAGCTAACTAGCTAAAACCAGCCGCTAGCCGAATGCTAGCAAAGTAGCAAAAGTCCAACAAATGCTCTTTAAAAACTTCATCAACACTCTACCTTCGTTGTGTCATTTGTTTTGTCTCCGATGTCGAAGAGGCTAACGTTAGCCGTGTAGCTCAGGTGTTGACCCTGATGAATTTGCATCTCCTCCCGTTTGTCCAGAAAAAGTCCATGGAGTCCATCAACTCTCGTCTCCAGCTGGTGATGAAGAGTGGAAAATACGTGCTGGGCTACAAACAGTCCCAGAAGATGATCCGACAGGGGAAAGCTAAGCTGGTCATCCTGGCCAACAACTGCCCGGCCCTCAGGTCAGCAAAGACACACTCCAGCCCACAGCATCTGAGTGTGATGCATGGAGTCAGTCACTGTGTTTAATGTTGGACACGTGTTTAAAGCAAATGTCCGCCTGTGTTATATTTGTAACATCACAGGAGCTTTGTCATAACTCATATTCTTCAAATGTCCATGATCTATAATACAACCATACTGTCATTGTTTAAAGTTCAGGTTTCTCATCAAGTTTGTGAAATAATCATCGACATGTGGCTAATAACTGTAGAATTTGGGTTCAGAATCGCCGTTTGTTCCATTTGCACTTCTCCACTGCAGGAGGTTACAAGCCTTCAATAGAAAAGTGTTTGTACAAGGTCATGAATTTCCTTGTTTTATTTACAGTAAGGGTAATTTGAAGATGAGTCTATGTAGTTGCTGATGAATCAACTTACTTCTGAACTATCCCGTGCTTCTGCAGTGGTCAATAGTAAAATAATGAACGCTGTGAGAGATTCAAATGTTGTTGATTCTGGGAGTTGCCTTGACTTCGGTATTTACATGTCTCACAACGACCAGGGTTTCAAATCATTATGCGAACAGATTTTTATGGATTACAGAGTTCGATGTTGGTTGAACCCTAAATAATAATAAAAAAAACTTACATTATCATAAAATCGAAGCTTATTTTGGAATTTCTGTGTCAACACATTAGTAGAGTGTAGTTTCTGTACTGTCATATCATAGCTGTTCAGATTTTTAAATATAACTCTTTGGCACGTTGATGCATATCATTTGTATTTTCTGTCTCTTGAAATTATTTGTATCCCCTAATGTGTATTTGTTGCTGTGACTCACATTTCCTTTACCTCTCTGCTGCCTTCAGGAAATCTGAGATCGAGTACTACGCCATGCTTGCCAAGACCGGTGTCCACCACTACAGTGGAAACAACATTGAGCTTGGCACAGCCTGTGGTAAATACTACAGGGTGTGCACACTGGCCATCATTGATCCTGGTGAGTACCTGCTGTTGAACACTGTAAGATGATAAGTGCAGCCTGTTTGGTCTTTGACTCTTTAGAGCTAAATCAGAATTTCCAATGCAGTGGGTCCACACTAGGATATTAAAAGAGACTAATGGGATGTTTCTGACACAAGCGTGTGCCAGTCACCGTCTGGTTGCAAAAATGATGTAAGAACATTAGCTTAGGGCTACGAGTCCCAGTGAGACTCATTGACACGACTGAACAGCAGCAAAGAACTCACTGACAAACCAGAGCTTCCAATCCCAACACAATGTTTCAGTGATCTATGTTAGACTATGCGTTTCTATCGTATAAGCATGATCGTCATAAAGTGTACTATACAAGTGTGTGTATACATACACACTTTCAGCACATATTATGTATATTGTGCTGACCTCGTGTTGACCTGTTAACTTCTGTTTGTTTGATTAGCTGCTGGCAGTGAAAGCAGATATGTGAATCATAATAGATGAAATCTTTGCATCATTACCACCAGAGATCAACCAGATTCATGTGATAACATCTGTTTTCACAAAAGCTCATCGCACCTCAACAAATGAGACTTCAATTTTCATATCATTATATAAAACACACATTTTTATTTCCTGAGCGAATTTTTGCGCCTGTTGGACCTGCTCACCAAAGTGGTCCACGGCAGGACTAGTGTTTCGCTAGATGAACGCCAGTCGGAGCGCTCGGTTGAGCTGCCAGTGTTTTCTGGCTGGTTCACGAATGCTCCGTTGGTGACACTTCTTCTCATGATGTCAATATTAGCTATTTACGCTCAGTATGTAATTGAATTAAGTTTTCCTGCGTATATGATCATTTTATTTCCACCAATTGACTGTTCATCTTTTCCTCTTCAGGCGATTCTGACATCATCAGGAGCATGCCAGATCAGCAGCAGCCACCTCAGTAGAAACGTTCCCCCGCCCCGTTGTCATAAATAAAGTCGGAGTTAAACGGATCACGCTGGTGTCGTTTTTATTTCTGATCAATACATGAATTCCACACACGTCTATCCTGCCTTAGTCCGCCAGAGAGCAGCAGTGTGCTCCTACTTGCCTACTTAGCATTAGAGGCCTGTCTGAGGGATTTCCTCTCCTGCAGTTGTTTACATCGTGAGCCTGTTGACAGAAAACAGGCAGTGATGGGAACTGAATTTTAAACAGCAGAGCTTTCTTCAAAGACTTAGCAGGATTATCAGTTCATGTGTCGACCATCGTGATCCTCTCCACTCGCTGCTTATCACGTTGGCAGAGTTACACAACACTGATATTTGAGAAAGTGTTTTTTTTTTCTCACTTGCATAAACCATGGGGATGACCCTCAACTGTGTAGTCAACTGCCTGTGGACTGTAATCGAGTAAGGACACTTTCAGAGGTATTAAAGGCTTTGAAGGGTGACAGCCGCCTCTGATGTCCTCCGACGTGTGCTTGTGTGTGGGGATAATATTTTTGTGTATGGACTGATTAACCTCTAAGAAACCTAGAAGCAAATTATCTTTTTTTTTTTTTTTTTTTCTGCTGATCAAATCTATCACAATCAGTTCTTTGATCAAAGTTGAATCAAACATTTTAAACAAAAAAGTGTTTTAAATATCTTGTAATCTTTAAGTATGACTGTTACTCCATTACAATGCAATTTAGTATAGAATTGTGCCTTTTTAACGCTTGAATATTTATATTGTCATAATCACATCAGTGTCGTGGACACTTGTTGGCTTTGGACTGAAAGACTTGTTTATACAACTAGTGTTGAAACTATAAGACTCATGACAGTGATGTCTGATATGAGTTAATACCAAAACCGTCAGATTTTCTCTCCGACAGAGGACGGGACATCAGCCCAGACGACTTTATAAACCGTCCATCATCCATCGAGTGGTTTGGCCCAGTTTTTCCACTCACTGCTCCCCCTAAGCATTTTTCTTGATTCCCAATTAAATCGAATGAAATCATCCCTGATGATCTGGTTCATGTGCTGCAGATTCCCCCCCGCTCCAAATAAGGGACAATATCTGAAAATTCTCCACACTGTACCTTTAAAAAGTCCTTTGAATGGCATTTGATTTGTCTAGAGGCGCTTGATTAAAGTTTAGATTAGTTGATTGAATGATAGTTATTGTTTTGTTAAGTTAAAATGTGTGTTAAGCAAAATCAGAGCAGAATCTTAAAAATTTAACGACAGATTTAGCCTCAAATGTCCTTTCACCATCACCCCCCTCTTTTTAAAATTCTGCTCATTGTGAAACCTTCTCTCTGCCTGCATCATTAATTCCTGCAAGAAAAAAGGGATGAGTTATGACCCACTTGTTTTGGGTTTGTTAGTTTATCCCCCCCCCGGCCCCGTCCCACAGGCAGAAAAGTAGGTGAGCGTGTCTGTCTGATCGCCCACTTCAGGTCCAAGGTAATGCCAGCCTCCATTTTGAGGCGGGAGGGTAAATCCTCTCTGATCTGCCAGCTTGTTCATCCGCACAGGGCTGAGGGAGGGATACTGAATCTGTGTGGGCAGCTGGATGCACACACGCCACCATGAAAACCGAATAATCATAAGCTGAAACTTTGCTGTCTCTATCATAATGTCTTCTTGCATGAATGGTTGAATTTCCCATGTTTTAAAACACTTGTATGCACTAGTTTACCACTAACAGAGAGAATGTCTGAATAAAACATCACTACACTGGTTATATGATGAGCTGGGATGAATTTCTTGGCACCAAATGAAACAACTCAGCTCTCGATGAGCACCTGTGCTCAATTTCAATTGCGTTAAATTGTTCCAGTTTCAGGATCCTGGTACTGTAAATGCTGTTGATTCTTTCAAACATAACTCAATAAATAAATCCAGCAGCAGAACCAGGTTAATTTTGCTTTTTATTATTCAGAGTTGAAGACATGAGCTCATCCAGATCCAACAAGAGGTGTTTGAGTGGAAAAAAGATGGACAACAGTCTGAGCGATTCTAATAAAAATGAGGCATCAACCATCCGCTAGTCCAGATGAAAGCCTTTTCCATTTTTCCTCTAAACTCGACATGACTCCAATCAAATCTGTCAAAGCTCTGCAGCTTTTCAGCCACATCAGACAGTGTAAATAAAAAAAAATGTTTTGGAAGCTTGTATCGTCCAGACACGGGGGGGCCGCTGATTTCGTATTAGAACCACTTAGCTGGGAAAACACAAACATGTCTGTTTGTGGTGAGCTCACGCTGACTTTAAAGTGCAATTTTATTTTTCAGCTTTGTTGGATTTGCAGAAGTCATAATTCACACAGGGACACTCATGAAGGGGCCAACAGAGGGCTACATTACCACCTACAGTATTAGTATCTAAGAAAACTACTTCATGGTACATGTATTTCCAGCTCTAACATGTTATTAAATGCACTATTGCATAGTTACTTATTTTTTCTGTAACAAACTACTTGGGAATTATTGGAAAGAACATGGCTATTATTGGTTCCATTCTTATTTCTAATAATACTCGACTGATTGCCTAAATTGTTCCAGGCAAAGCATTTGCGCTGTTGACTAGCTCCATATAGTGTGAATAGATTTTGTGCTACTATGCAATGCTAAATCAATGCTTTAGATCCCCATCCATCATCACCAGCACAGGATGGACTCAACATGATATCACTGCATGTGCAAAAAATGTGTTACTACATATGAAGGGAGTTACATCATAAAGCCACATACAGCTCGCAGGCAAGCGCACACATTTTAACATACACACGCACACAGTCTCTGCATGTACAGCAGCACGTCACGCCGTCTTTATAGGAAAATGCCCTCAGTCCAGCTAAGTTCAACTCAAAGATCCGATTACAGACCATAATCAAATCAATAATCAAACCAATAAAGACACAGTCAATGCTGCAAGGACACATGTTCACACATGAATGTTCACACATGAATGTTCACACACTTCTTTTTCAGGTGTATTGCCTCTTTTTGGATGTGAATGTGTCAATGTATGTATTTATGTCTGTGAGGGTTTCCATTAAATCTTGAGATCTCGGAGAAGTACACAAAAACAGGCAGGAAGGCAAACTGGAATAGATCGTGACTGAATTCAGGTGAACGAGGTTTTCACTGGCAGTCGATGGGCTACAGATTTTTACAGAAAAGCGTGTTACATGGGTACGAAAGGAAGACGTCGTTATTGGTCGAGGAACCTTTTCCAATACGATGTCCTGCAGGACAAACTACATCAGTACACAGATGATATTTTAACCACAACAGGACAGACAGCCTTTCGCTACTCACTTCTTTTTCTCTCCGTTTTCACTGTTATACAAAAAAAGTCTTACAAAAATACCCCAACATTACATTCAATGAAGGAAATTTGTCAATTTCTGAAAAAAGTGCTCTTGCATAACTGATCATGTATGTCGCTTTCCTTCTCGTGCTCTCTCTCTCTCTCTGCACCATCTCTCTTCAGGTAGTTTGTTTCTATACAAAGACCACGAGGGAGATTCACAGTATCGGGGGTTAACAGTTGGTGGCCAAGACCGGTGGGTGCACGTTTCACTCAACGAAAAGTGCAAATTAGGTTGGGACAGAGTGTTCAGGGGCGTGCAAGAGTTTCGATGCTGCCAGTTAGCAGCTGCCAAGAGGGAGGGAGGGGAGGGTGGGTGATGATCAGGGGGAGCTGTTGGTCTTGAAGTCACTGTCCTTGGGAGAGGACAGAGGAGAATAGAGGGGAGGACAAAACGTCACAACAGGTAGGGTGGTGGAGGGCGGGGCACAGTCGATGGCGATACTGGCTCAGCGTCACTAATCTACAATTGGCAGGAATCCAAGCTGAAACCAGCATCTAAGACATTGTTTCTCCTTGGTTTTACAACATGTTCCAGGGTCCTACTGTCGGAGAGAGATGTGATGGGTGTTTGGAGGGGTTGTGGGGGTGAAGGGTCCAGCGGCGAGGACTTCACTCATGCCTCCATATACTGGGGAGGAGGCTCCTTGGGCGGAATGGCAATGGCTTCTTCATACGGTGGCAGCAGAACCTGAAATAACAGAAATAAAGGAGGCTCAGTCCAAAACAGTGAATGGTTGGAAACATTGAACTATCCTCCACAAATTCATTCTATCTCATAATGGGAATTTGTCAGGGATATTGCGCTAATATTTTGGGAAGTGAATACAATTTACAAAACAGTAATAGGCAGCGATTTCATACTTGGCCTTAAACCTCATTTATGCTCAACGTTAGATATGTATATGTGTAAAAGGACGGAGCCTTCTGTGTATTCAGCGTTAATTTTTGTCCGTATTTGTGTCTTCTGAACAGACAGGAAGACAGACAAAATGGTGCAGTACCACCAGTAATCATAGGTAGGCAGTGTAGGTAGTAGTTCAAGGAAGAAATGTTGTAAACAATGGTTTACAACTTAAATGAGTTTGTAAGAAACTACAGGAATCTATAAGACATCATCCCAACCTCGTCCACTGTCGACATGTTTGTTGTTGACTCTGCGATGGATGTATTGCTTAGCAACCACGCCAACGTAAAGGACACGTGGAAGCATGTGGGCAGTGACGTATCTCTGTTCATACGTTAAGGCAGCATAAATGAGCCTCTAGCCATTGTTGCATGTTTCCCCCTGATTAATTCGAGCTCTTTATACCTCATCTGTATAGAATAAATTACTAAAGGCAATACATACACACACACAGGCCAGGCTATGTTCAACCCTAGCAAAAGTCTCTCTCTGTAAATGGTGTTGTAAAACCAGCCCTGCTGCTAATTCAGTGAGAGAGAGAGAGAGAGAGAGAGGGAGAGAAAGAAAGTGAGAGAAAGAAAGTGAGAGAGAGAATATTCTCGGAGGGGATAGAGCCAGAGAGGCCCGGCAAACACATCACAGGCTGGATTTGAAATGAAGTGGACAAGCAGACTATTATGTAACATGTCCAGAAGAGCGAGAGAGGCAACGGACAGAGATATATTCAGGGGGGAGGAAAGTGAGAGAGAGAGAGAGAGAGACGACCCTTGTGCATTTTAATGGCATTTATATAAAAGGGGGACAGATAAGCAGCTGGGTAACTTGATGTACGATGCTGTAAAAAGCCATTTAGACACACTGAGGGATTTCTAATAGTAAAAATAGATGGAGCGCTCTATTCATTCACCACAGTGTGTGTGTGTGTGTGTGTGTGTGGAGGGAGGGAACACCATGATAAAAACATAACGTCACTATTGAGGACAATGTGAAAGCTGTTTAAACTGTTAGATGCTGTTTTTTTCAAGAAATTTCTCTCATTTAAATCCATGTAGCCGGTGCTGCTTATTGGTGGATTTAAAAATCTTTCTGACTTGTATTTTATTACCTTTCATCAATTTTGGGGCTCTGTACTCAACTGCTCATCCACATTAATTTGTTGAGAAAATCCTTAATTTTAAAAATATTAAAACAATAAATGATACAAGGGTTAGGGGCAGATTGTTTTCATTATAAAACCCACTGGCACATACCCAGTATTTGCTCAAAGGCCATATGACACACAACATGATATCACCTGCTGGACTAGCTCCTGCCCTTCGTGTCTATTTCGTGAGGTGAAAAATACGTCATCAGTGAAGCAGGGCCACGGCAGCACAAGGACGAAGTGACGACAGAGGGTGTGAGACAGATTAATGTCTTATGTATCGGTTGAGGATTACAGACGGACAGACAAATGGAAACCGTGACTGTGTTAAAGCCTCTCAGAATCCCAGAGTTAACGCTGAGGGACGGAGGACACCGGGGCTCTAAGCAGCCGGCCAGTCACACCTCCGGACGACCTACAGCACTGTCCTGAACCAACAACACTGATGTCACGGACTGACACACGACTGATGCAAACTGCTCAACAGCAGAATCCAGAGCTTCGACTAGACTGCACACACTGTAGAGTCTATGCTATTCTACCACTTATACACAATAATTTCATTTACAACATTGTGATTATCAATACAACTCCTTAAGTGATGTGTAGGATTTTAATGAGTCAACAAATAAAAAATGTTATACATTTAATCACTTTTACTATTGAGTGACTCATGTAAAGTCGACCAAACTGGACGAACAAAACACCTTTTGAGTTTTATTACAACTGACGGCTACCACAGGTTATTTTTCACGTTTGGAAGGGATTGGTGAGGTGAGGGGTATTCAGCTGCAACGTGCAACTTCACCACTAGATATCACTAAATTCTAAACACTGAACCTTTAAAATGAAAATTCTCTCTATTTTTCAAATCTAAATTGCTGCTCTAAGCACAGTTACAGCTAAATAAAATGATGATGTACATCACAAGTAATACCTACCTTGTACATTTAGAGGTATCAACTCATTGAACTGCAATAACATACAAAAGTAAATATGGTCTATATTTTAGTATTTTATCATCTGAGTATTTTACGTTGGGCCTAGCATTTGCTACATGTGTATCGATGTTGGGCAAATGCACTTATATTAAGATCCGAGGATCGGAGAATATTCAGTGTGTCCTTGAGGTAAGGAGCGGGCGGGTGGATGAGCGGACTCACCGTGGTGTCGTTCGTGGTGACATAAACCAGGACCTCCGTGGTGCCCCTGCCGCTCACATATCTGTAGCAGTTCCACACACAGCCAATCAGATAGGCCTGAAAAACAGAGGACACACAATGACCTTTAGAAACAGCGTCTCCACTTTTCATTATGATCTCATCCATTCATCAAGGTTAAAGATGATAATGATGATGACAGCAGACATGCATCATATGAATAGTTCATAAAAGCTCCAATATGTCAGCTGCATGCCAGGCACGTAAGGACTCATGGCAATTCAATTGACTTTCAAAAATCAGGGCATTTTAATGAATGGTCCAACCATCAAACGATTTACCGAAAGCTACTTATCAGGCATCTCTTGCTTCACTAAGGCTGTCCACACTGAGGTTGTCTGAGTTGGCAGAGGAACAGGAGGTTCATTGTGCATATGTGTGAGCAGCCTGCTGAGTCTGTACCTCTGCCAACCGTAAGAGCAACCGACGGACCAGGAAGCCCAGTGGACTGCTAACGAATCACTTTACCATCTGCTGAGCTGACCTCTTCGCTGTGACACCAACTCAAAACTGAGGTTAACATATCCACGACAGTATTGTACGCACAAATGCAGCTTTAAAACAGAACACGTAAAGTTGATAATACATATAAATGTTTATGTCATTTTAAGGCACGAGCATAACATTTGTTTTTTGTTTTTTCAGTGAAATAAGATTTTCTATGCAATGTTCAATAATATTGTTTGTCAGAGCAGTTTTCAGACATGAAAAAATGTTTGTCTTTCACATATGAAGGACACAGCAGGATATAGTCCAGGTCAAACGTGTTTACGACACCAGCAAATTGTCCGTAACATTCAGACGAGGGGTGGTGCCTGGATAGAGGACACAGGAGGCAGGAAATGACGCATAAATCGTTAGGAAAACCAGAAAATTTCAGGAAAATGTTAAGATTTCAGTACATGTCTAAAAGCAGCTTACGTCAAACAGTTTCTCTTTTTATTCATCCAAGCTTCCATTGATTTTATCAACATTTTTGTATCTGCTTTCTGTTTCTACCCTCTTTTGTCTTTCCAGCTCTCCTTCTTCCTGTCTGTCTTCATCTGTCATTCATGCCAAATGCAGTTGAATGGAGAATTTTGGCTCCAGCAGGAACTTCAGCAGGTGCTGCCTCTGTGCCGAGAGCTCAGTGCGTCCTTCAGCAGATTTCAGATCTGGTACTTTTCCAGGCGACTGACTCAACTATCATCATGAAAAGGACCAGGATAGGAGCCAATAGACTGTATATGCAGCGCATCGATAAATATGGGCTTCTATTGATTTCACTTGGCAAATGTCAAGATAACGCTCTGAGCAAGAACGCATCTACATATCTGTGATATTGAATTTCAGAGCAATGTGCAGTTAAATGACCCCACATACACACACTGTGCAACAAAGCTGTCTGTCTGAGTCATGGCAGTTATAACTCTTCTCTCTCTGTGAGTCCAGCAGTTTGTCTTCCAGTGGCTGCTTCCCATCATAAAGCCTGGCTCTGGATATCTGCCGAGAACATTTCCAATCTGAGCTCAGAGGAGAAACAACTTGATTTGATTGTACAGATGACTGCAACTTCATATCCCATCTCGTCCCAGAGCCCCAGAGCGGAGCTGCGCCTGGAGAACCATCCATGCATTAAAGGGGAATTAGCTTGACAGGAGTTGGTTTCCTGTTGTCCCTGACCCACTGCTCTCTGGCTGTGTGATAATCTCATGACGAATATTGATAATGGAAATGTTCGCACTGGCAGAGTCATTATACACACCATATGGCTCGTACTGCAACGAGATGTTCTCAGTGTGAAGCTTAATTGCTTTAATCACATTGCAATATAATTAGCAGATCTATGAAACAAGGCAGTTTTATATGTGTTGCATATATCGTTATATTCTACAAGTTTACATTTTTCTATGCATCTCTACAGTGTTAGACATCAGTCACATGGCTGCATAACATTTAGAATACTGCCTTGCAGTTGTATCTTGTCAGTCAAGTTGCAGTTTATATTCATGATGGTCCAGACTCACAATGTATTGAACAGTTGGAAGGACTTTAATGAAAGTTATTATCATAATTAGTGTATTATAATTAGCACAATCTTTTGAGTTATTGCTAAAAATCTTTTTTGTGAGGTCAGCTTGAGATTTGACTATCAAATTCTAATTAGTTCATCTTTGAGTGCAGGTGTATGTTTGTATGAAATGTAATGAAATTGCCTCCATATGCTGCCCTGGGAAAAGCGTGAAGTGAACATTAAAAACCATAAACTAATCGTTCATCAGTTATATCATGTTCAAGAGAATAGGATGGATATGAGGTGATGTTGGCCTTTGACCTCTGAAATCTCATCCATTCATCCCCGTGCTTAATTTGAAGAAATTCCCCCAAGGTGTTCCTAATATTACGCTCATGGGATGGATGCAAAGAAAAATCTGCAAAAAACATAACGCCTCTGGCCTTGGCTGTCACAGATGCATTAGAAAGGCCGACACTAGGAAGACTGGGAGAACCTGGAGTGATACAGGGATTCAGTAGGATTACCTTGAAGGAGAGGATACAGCCAATGAAGACGAGGACTGCAAAAACTAGGCACATGTTGTTGGTGGACATGATGTCCTCTTTGTAAGGGAATGTCCCCGGCTGAAACAAGAGACAGAGAGAGAGCGATGAAGATTAAATCTTAAACAACTAAATAGATCTGCATAAAAAAGACCTGTGTTAATGACTTTCTTTCACTGAACCAGCAAAATATCCTGAGTCTGATTTGTTGCTTAACCATTATCACATTCAATTAAAAAGCAGTAAAGTCTTTGTTGACTCGAAAAATGTTTTGCACAGATGAGCTTGACATTTTATTTTTCCCATTGAGAACAAATGAAGCCTCAAGCCTAACAGGATGTATTATTTGTGAACATGTGAAATGGTCCTCACCAGCTGCTGGAGGTAGTCCTGCACTGTGTTGGGATAAACCACCACGCTAATGGCTACCAGTGTGTTAAGGGCAAAGTCGAAGATTTGGTAGCAGAAGAATGGAATGATCCAAGCAGCATGTTGCTATAAAAGGAAAGACAAATAAGAAAAATATTGAGAAACTCAAAAAGCATACACTTCTGTTACTGATCATTGTCAGACCAATGATTGAATTTCTCTTGTTTATTTACCTTGTAAGCACCGTACGTTGCCATGCCACATATGAGAATCATGAGTAGGGATATTGCAGTAGCTATGCAGATATCTGCAGAGAGACAAACACAACAAGGTGAAGGCAGATCATCGGGGTTTACCAGTGAAAGAAAAAAACAGTAGGAAAGTAAAACGTCATTTCACAGGAACCTTGAATCCACTGATGTAATCAAAAAGTCTCTGTGAGGACATGGATTTATACAAAACAAAGCACCCTGGTAACCTCACTATTTTTAGCATCCAATCTGACTCGGACAAAACATGCTCGACACGTGGCTAATTGTTATGCAAGGTGCTAAATTTGACAAAAATACAACACCCTTCTCAGATTCACATTACAGCTGTGAAAAAGACTGATGAGGCCCTTGCGGCACTCGGGACAAGATATTTATATGTGTACAGGTTGGTGAAAATGACCCCACATTACTGCTCATCAGAGTCAGTGCTTGCTGTGGAATAGGTGTATCTCCTCTATTTTTTCTTAACCTGAAAAAACAATTTACAAAAGGACTTTTGCAAAACACAAAAGAATGAATGCAACTACGCTATCTAATCAAGACAGTGGGTTTTCCATTACACTCACAACAGTTATTATTGCAGCTGATACTGTGTTAAGACCCAGGAAATGACGGTACCCTTCAATCTTAATCCCTTTTCTCTCATAAACAACACATGTATACATAAATGCCCTGCCATCCATTTCACCCCAAGTTTTAATTTCAGGATTTCTGTGCATCTAATTATAGCGATATAATAACAGCCCATTTCCATCCATCCCCTATGTTTCACTATGTTTGATCGACACTGCACAAGCGACAACGCTGTCCGAGGGCGAGCCAGTCAAGATGGCCGTTTTAATCCGATGGAGAATTAGAGCAGTCGTTTTAATCAGAGTAGCCAGTGACAGGGTCTGTGGCGTTCCAGAGGCGACTGTGATGATGATAGCCGCCAGAGGGTAAGCACTGAAAATACACATGGAGGCTGATTTGTTCTTTATGGTGCTGAGCCTACTCAGCTATGTCCGTGCTGAGAGCAGCATTCTGGGAAAGGACGTAGTGGGCAGAAAAGAGAAGGTGATTTTAAAGACGCTGAAACACATGGGCTACACGGACACGCTGCTCATTTTAATGACCTCTCTCTGGATATACCAAAAGAATATTCTTATTGAGTCATGCAATGAGATGATGATGAATGATGCTGACACTGAGATTAAATTATTCGATTATTTGCTTCTGCACTGTTGCCTGGTGCTTAAATAAGTAAGATGAATCTGAGCTGGAAATAAATGAAGACACCATAGCAAACACCAATGTCGGACTGTACACATACTAACTTCTGGATTTATGTTTTCTTTTTTTATCTTTTTCTATACAATTATTTTAATTATTTATTAATCGGTTGATTGGTTTGTCAGTAACTTATTAGAAAATAATGAAAACTCCCCATAACAGTTTCCCAAAAAACAGTAATATCTGTAAGTAAAATAATTTGTTTTTTTTTACCAGAGATAAGGTCCAGACTCATGTTTAGCACTCAATAATCAGAAAAGTTGCTGATTTATTTTGTGCTGACAAATGGTTTCATTAATCTAAGATAACAAACTGCCTTATTGAGGACATTTAACATAATCTATCATCCCGCTAAATCATTTATACCAAGCTGGACATGTGACAATGAGGGGATTAGCTGCACTCACTTGCATCGTCCATGACATCGATGTCAGTTCCCAGCTCAGAGCTGGTAAGGTGGTAGCGGTACTGAATTGGGTCGTTGAGTGCCGACAACAAGATGAGTAGGACCACTGCATTGATGAGCTGTGGGAAAACATCAATATAAAAAAAATACATAAAAAAATCAATATTAACATTATATTTCACAGTAAAGCCCAAAGCCCATCTATTACCCATCTTCAAAATCTTGGGTTTAATATTTTATTAGAAATTCCTTTTGTGCATGTGGCATTTGTTAAATCAAATAAAAGACAAACCTCAAACAAAATACATACAAAGATCGTATTAGTGCAACTGTGGATACATGTAATTTTGTTATTGGTTGTATTTCTGTTTTCTTTTTTAAATTTCACATTTACTTATGAATAAGCTGTAAAATATTAAGCCCTCGTTACATCACTTTATCATAAGGGTTAGAGAACCACATCTGAGGAATCGCTGTTGTATATTTTTAACATATACATCATCTGATATATCAGTTCTGTTTCAGAAACTTTTGACTCCCTTATTTCAGTACCAACGATCCATCCCCCCAAAAAATCCATATCAGTAGGGCTCTAGAAAATAGTGAAAAATACGATCTACTATTTAACAAATCCAAGGTGACATTACATTTACCTGGTTTATTGAATCAAGAACAAAAAATAATATAAATGTATAGAGACACTGCTGTTATTCTGTGGTGTTGCTACAGGGTCATCTCAGCCTTTATCCAATAATTATGATAAGAATAAGAAAAAGATCTCATGAGACTGAATGAGTCTTGTACCTGTGTGATCTTTACATTTCATCTCTGGAGGTATTCCTCTGTTTTATCAGACCTCTGCTCACCCTGGGTCAGAAAGTCACTAAAGGTCAGGGATTTAACAAGCTTACTGAACTATGTTTAAAACTTTAGGTTATCCCGTGGGTAGAAACAGAAAGGTAACTCTATATTTAACCTCTACAGATGTAGGACAAATCAAACAGAGAGGTTTTTACATTTCATCACAACAACAACAAAGAAATCAGCTTAAAATGGAAGAAAACACCGTGAAGGTAAATTGGGGATTATAAGATATGACATAAAATAATAAATACATGAGAATAACCGTGGGAAATAATGAGTTATTCAGGTGAAAGAGCAATAAAGACAGGCTGCAGGTCACAAGTGTTATTTTGATGTAGAACAGAGGACATTGCTCAAAATGGCAAATGAGAGCAGAAAAACAAAAAAACAGCAGCAGCTAGCTAACTTAGCTTCTTTTCGCTTTAAACTCAACGACAGCTCGTTCTAGCATCTTCCACAGCTAGTGTCACGTTTACAGCCACTAACTTAAAATGTACGAGTCTGATACGAGGGTGATAAATGTCGAAAAACGCGACTCACCATGTACCATATTCCCAGAATGATGGTGCCCGTGCGGACATGGCAGCAGAGGCAGCAGCTCGTCGAATACCACCGGTCCCACGGCGAAATCATCTTGTCTCTGTTATCCTGCTACGACTTGACAGGCTATTTCATGAAGGCTGCCGAAAATTCAAAGGTTCGAGTCAACGACCAGAGAGAAGAAGAAGGAGGAGAAGAAGAAGAAGGAGGAGGGAATGTCTGCGTCCTTGGTGCGAGGAGGAGCGGCCACATCCAGCGTCTGTTCCCCCGTCACTGAGAGCGGACTCCCCGCGAACACACAGCCGTTATTTTGGCTCATCCCCGGGTCATGTGACCAGCGGAGGGTTTAAACGGAGGGATGGAAAATGTTTCCTAAAATCAACATGTCGGTGATTCTCTCTTTGTCTCAGACTCAAGCTTTTACCTTTGTGTTGTTCATAAAGCAGCTTTTTAAAGTTTCCTCCATCATGCTGGGGAAACTGGAGGGTTAGGCCAGGGCCGGATAAACCTCCCGATGAGGGGCAAACATTTGTTGTTGGGGCCCCTCTGAACCATCACTATACAGTTCCATTAGTTCCTTAATGAGATTCATTCAATGTATGATCAATTACTTTGCGCACATATATTAATAAATGGTTAATTCAAGACTGGTGCACGCACAGGAGAACGTGGGAGACCACAGAAAATGACAGATTTAACAGATTTTTAATTTTAAAATCATCAGAACACACACATTTGCAGTTTGTAGGAAACAGTTTCACAGTGGCATTCGAGAAAAGTAAGTGCAAGTGCAAATGTAAGTGCAATAACTGAAATATTACAATAAACCAATAAAAGCAGACGAGAGTCACATGTCACTATGGATTTAAACACAGCACTTACCATGTGAAGAATTTGCCAGTGGAAGCAGTTTATCTGCCCCCAATGTAAAACTAGGTCACCACTCAGTCAAATTTGATTTACTGGAACTTTGTCTGGAACTATGGGAATGTGTGACCTTCAGTAGTTCAGCAGATGCACATGATGCATTTTCCTGTATTCATACATACACAGACAATCTGGGGCACCGTGTTACTCCAGCATAACAAAACTGTGCACTGTGGACACAATGGTGGGAGGAACAGGGAGTTAATGGGGGCATCCTCACAGGATCATTTCACCGCGCTCCAATGCAGCTGCTTGAAGCAGGTGACAGCCTCTTAAAAGTCAGCAGATTGACCAATCGGTATCTAGAACCAGGTGATGAGGAGTCACCACAATGATGTAGATTTCCTCCTCATTCAAAGATTGATGTAGTTAATTGCAGCATTAGAACAAGAAGCCGTCTCTGTGAGTATAACCCACGCCCGGCCTGACAGATGGGCCAGTGACCACAGCTCTAAGCTCTGGTCTTTGGACTGCATCATCGACACATTAGGAGATTTTCCTCCTCTGCCATGACTAAGCACTGACCAGACTGTCACCTTTTTAAATGCTATTTGAAGAGCAGATCTCATGGTCCAGCCTTAATGATTTCCCATACTGCAGCTACAATGAGCATTTAAATTATCAGACATAATAGACATATTTACGTAAATATACAGAGGGATCTGATGTAATGACCGGAAGTACAAAGCCCTATAATCCTTTTTCCCCAAAACCTGCTGGCGAACAATAAATCCCACAACCAGCTTTGGGTGCACAGATATGTCAGTTTGGCTGTTTAACGTTACCACGCTCCTCTGACTTGTTGGAGGACGTGACTGTCAGGGATTATGTGGGTTTTAGATACAGCGACTTCAGATAGATCTTTTTTTAAAACAGCATTAGCGAGTGATTTTCATAGCAAGGCTTTAAGTGACCACAGTGCCTTCATTACAGAGTGACCTTCATTATTAATACATCTGCCTTTCATGCACTCATGCAAGAAAAAACATTGAGTGCAACAATCCATGAGCAATGAAAAAAACAAGCGTGATATCCCCCTGAAGTGAGGGTGAATGGAGAGGGAACCAGAGATTGTGGGAGATTAAAAGCAGATAAATCCGAAATGAACTGAGAGATGAGAGAGAGAGAGTTGAGGCGAAGGAGGGGCACATTGACTGGGGCAGTGGTTTGGCCTCGGGATGGGTCACTGTGACCGGGGCCGAGCACAGGCGTGGCTGCTGACACAGATTTGCATCACAGCATACAGTGGATCCCCGTGGTATTAATCAGAGATTTAGGATTAGTTTGACAGAAAACATGAAAACAAAATGTCAGAGGACAGGAAGACAGCCCCGCTTCATATCAGTGTTGGTCGTGATGAATTCCGCTAATAGAACATGCCTCTAATTATTACTTGAAGGTTAGTTTGGCATGAAACCATAATTAAGAATGTGTTAATTCATCACTGTTCCATCAGAATAAAAACACATTTCATGTAAGTAGCCTGAGGAACACTGCTTGTTAGAATCACTGTCATTAAACTAGAATTATGGCTGTGGTTGTGTCTCCTCAAACCAGAGCAGTTTCAGTGGATATACATTTTTTTCCAGACTCATGAGGTCACTGGGACCTTTGACCACTGAAATCTCATCAGTTCAGACCAAAATCATTGATCGACAAAATCTAATCGGTCCATCCTTGGGTCCAACTGAGGGCTTGCACCAAATTTGAAGACATTACCTCAAAATATTTTTGAGATATCATGTTCACAGAAATAGCATCAGCATACGTACTAACAGATGGAAAACCCCCAAAAACACCATGCCCCTGGCTCCAAGCTGTTGCCAAAGTAAAGGCATAACAAGTCTTACATAATAGGAATGGAGAAATTACATTCAAATAAGCCTGAGAAAAAAAATCCCCACCTAAAAGGTCACTTTCTGTTTTGTTTTAAGTAATGAATTCAGTATCTCTACCGCCTATCCTTTGAGGGTTAGAGATACATGCTTCAGTTATAAAGTATATAAACCGTTGTCCCTGAGAAACAAGAAGTACAAGCCTATGACAAAGTGATATTAAGCATTTCTGATTTATTTTTCATCTTTACCAAACAAACATAGAAATATCATTTGTATCTCCTCAATAAACAAAATCATTCACAAAAAAAGACAAGTATATAAATACATTGATTGGATCATTTTAATAATCTGTAAAAATCGATCAAAAAAGAAATGCCTGAAGCCACACCAACAAATCATTTTATTCTATCAGGTCTACAAACAATTATGTACCATGGCCAGCTGAGGCGCTCTCCCTACCAACAACAGACTGCCACAGAAAAGCTGCAATTTGTCTCCTTTGAGAAAGCTATTACAGTATATACATTGAGTGGTAAGCTATCTCAGGAGCAAGTATCAATAGTTAAAGCAAGAGATCATTCATTGAATTTCATGTAGAGAAGTACTATTATCAAAGTCATGCATGATGAAATTACTCCTGACATCAAAACTTGCAATTAGATGAAAACTATAAAAAAATGGACGCAAATGTTATACATCTACAGATTAAGGCAATGGAATTACAGAAAATTCCTTTTGTATACGTGTGTGTGTGTGTGTGTGTGTGTGTTTGTATGTGTGTGTTGCCTATATCCAACTTCCATGTGGAATTAAAGCTGCTCCATATCATATCTCCATGTAAGTTTTCATTCTCAATTTACATCAAGAAACATTTTACCCCTGTCAAAGCCAAAAAAGTTACAAGTTTCACATTCCACAGAAAAAGGTAGTAAAAAAAAACAAAAACCAAACAATTCCTTGACATCAAAAGGAAATCAATGCAGCCTTTTGCACAGTGCAATCACAGAACTGGAAAAAGCCCTTACAATCTGTACATATGGCATGGCTTTTTCTAGCACGAAAAACCGGAAGATTATATCTCTAGAAAACTAGAAGAGAGAGAGAGAGAGAGAGAGAGAGAGAGAGAGAGAGACGGACAGACAGACAGAATGCAGGAATGAGCATTAGATCTCTAGAAAAATCAACGCACAGTCTCGTCAGATCCAGACGGACAAGCTCAGTATGGTAAAAGTAAAGGGACAATACTCTGCTACTGCCTTCGGGGATCGTCCCATTACTCCTGAACATTAGGTTACTGTGCCTCCTAGTGGTTCACGTCAGTAACTGTGCTCCTGACTCCTAGAGACCCAGTGTCAATCCAGAATCAGTGATCTGATGTGTGACTGATGGATTTGTACTTTTTCAGCTGTCAGTTTGTTCGGATTTGTTATCACAGTTTCACCAAAATATGGCTAAATACACAACCGGTGCTTTGCTATCCCTAAAAAGACAGAAGTGTATTTTATCACAGTTTGGCAAAACTGTAAGTGTTTGAATCCAATTATTATCGTTTAGAAGTGATTGTGTAGAGTTTTCTGTGGCCAAGATAGTTTTTCAACCGGTCCACAGTTGCCATTCTTCATGAAGGAGCTTTTACAAACTTAACAGTCAACAGGCGATAATTTCTACTAAAACAATAGATATCCATGAAAATGAATTTAAAGGTCAAGTTTGGATGTATTCTAAATCTTTCTACATCATGTGTACATTAGAAGTGTTGAGGATGGCTGAGAAAATGACTTCTTCATACAAGTTGTGTCACAATATATTTGAGAGCCAACAAGTTAATAGTCTAAGCGCTGTTAGGTTCAGCCAAAACTGATAGGAAGCCCCCAGCAGTGATCACATGAACAACCACATGATCACATGAAGGTTTTTTACCTGTATGTTGTCCTGACAACAATCCTACAACAACCAGGAAGAATCCCTCTGCCAAAGCTCAGCAAGGAAAATACATCAATTTGGCTCATAGTAACTTTGCTGAAAGCTCATATTAGCTTTGGGTCAATGGAAAAATGCATTTTTGTACAGTAAAGAGGACCGTGTCTCATAGTTGCTCAGTGATGGTGTTACATCCTGGCCAGAATGAAGAGGAGGGATGATTACAGTGACCGAGAACTGTCAAAATATGTACAAGCTTGTAAACTTTGTATCACAATAAACCTCAGAAAACTCACAACCAACTATTTAAGACGGATCTGAGACTGAAGTATACATTTCAGTAATTTGATATACGGGCTGCAACATGAAAAACAAAAACAAAGTGCAACATAATGGGGAATAAAAATTGATGGTTCTCTTTAAAATAATAATTAAAAGAAAAAACATGTTTCTTTTTGGATTAACAATGATAAACACCTTTGATGCCTTTAAAAAAAACCTACACAAACATGTACCTACACTGCGGTGTCCTGAAACTCCACTCTGGCTGCAGTGTAGCAAATAGTGCAAATTAGTTAAGATTTCAGTCCACAGGACCAGATTTCATCACTACATTTACCCAAGCAGGTGATATCTACTGTTTATTTTCTTTTTTGTTCAGGTAACTGGTAAACTGTTAATGTAGCTCAGAAACAAATTCTGTACCTAGAAATTATTGCATGTGACATATTCAATAACAATCGTTTGCATATGTTTTGTTTGAACCTGTGATGTGACTTCATGTTTCTCTTCTGACTTTTTTCTTCTGCGAAGGTTTCGGAGGCTCTGCGATTTGCTCGGGAATCTCTGCAAGAAAATAGAAAAGTTCAAGTAAAAATTCAAGTTATATCTAGATCCGTCTCCAAATAAATCCTATAGAACCGACAGACATAACTAACGGCGAAGTGGAGACATCTTTATATACAGTCTATGGATGGACCATTTCTTCCCCTTTGTGCTGTTTTTCTACACAGACAAAAAACTGATTCCTACTCAGAACTGCTGAAACCTACTCTGAGAGGAGGATATGCTGGGATTCTGCTTTTTGGAGGCGGTCACAGGAAGCTCTTGGGGTTTGGGCGCTGCGTTGACCAGGGGTGCTGGGCTCACCACCTATACACAAATATATGAAATGACATTCTCATTAAAAAGGGCAAATGTCTCCAGTGCAGCAGTTTTAAAATGTACTCCCACATATTAATCTGAGAGCTTGATGTTTTGTTTTCTTACCTGAGCCTCAGATGCAGCCTCCTCTTCGGCTTTCTTCTTCTTCTTCTTTTTCTTCTTGGACTTTGCTGCTCCCCCAGAGGGATCCTCTGCATCCTTCTCATCCTCGGATATCTGCAGAGACAAAAACAGATAATCAAATATTTTCAATAAAAGAAAAACCATATCTCTAAGTTCTAGGGAGAGAAAATGGCCATAGTGGATGAATCAAGTAATTAAGAGGTGCATTAGGGATTGACACTAAAAATGCAATTGCTAAAGCCTGTCACATGTCATCAGGAGTTTTAGGCCAAGATTAGTGAAAGTTTGAATAAAAAGGGATGTGGAGGCCCTGAAAATAGAGCAAGACCTTGTTGGGGGCAGGCTGTTCCTTCAGTGGAGCGGATGGAGTCACCAACACAGGAGGCTCTTCATAGTTTCCCCAGTGCTCTGCTGGGGCATTCCAGTCAGAGGTGGAGTCCGCTGCTGCTGCTCCATCTAGAAAAAACATTACAGCAATAAACAAGATGGAATTCAATCACGGTGCTTGTTTAAGAATTTGTTGTATATAGGATGGACTTTTGAAACACTTACTGAAACCAGACCATTCGTCATCAACGTGTTGGTTGCTCGCCCACTGCAGCTCAATTGAATTGGATATTGGGGCTACGAAAGACAGAGGGGGGGTAAAACCATTAAGACAGCTGAGACAGATAATAGAAAAGCAGAAAAAACACTGATAAGATGATAGAGCTGGCAGTTCATCACAATGCGAACCTGAGGTGTTGAGTCTCCGCATGGAGAAGGACACTGGGTTGAGGTCAGTCTTTATCCGACCATCAATGCCACTCCATGCTGCTGGCACAGGAAAACAGAAAGAAACACGTGGGATAAAGTCAAAAGAATGTATGTGTTCTATATGATATTTTATTTTTAAACTGTAGACTTTCAATGGCTCCACCATCTGGTAACATACTCACAAAATTTTGGACAAGAATGATCAACTTATCAATATAACCTCAACCTGCTTTTTCTTGCAATGCCACATTGGCCCAGTAGAGGGATCAGTGGGACGGGGTATTCTATATAACTGATCTCAGTGAAATTAAACTCATGAATTAATTGAACTGAATTTCCCCACTTTTAATTTCAGCAGTAGGTGGCAGCATTTTATTGTGTTGATGTAGCATATTGACACATTCATCTTTACAGCCAGACTTACATTTTAAAGCCACAACAGTGAAAAACCTCAATGCTCTTATGTTTGTTTGAATCTGCTGCTGCGGTTACTGTTAATATTTGAGATGCAGAAAGGTTCTGCCCATGTGCTACCTTGCGCTTCCTGTGTCCAGCGCTGGGGCTCAGCTGGGCCCCTGTAATGCGGAGCAGTGGGCACGTTCCTCCACTTGGTTCCATCCATGGCACCCATCTGACCCTGAATCTTCAGAGAACTGTCGGTCCATCCTACACCGTTAACTGAAGGCTCCTCTCGCCAGCTGGAGGACACTGAGGTGGCAGGCATACAGGAAGACAGGGAGTCAGACTGGTGCGGTTTGTTCAAGTAGCAACAACCTTTAACTTTCAACATTGTTGAGTTTAAATTATTGAAAGACATTAACAAATCAGTAAAAGGCAGTCAGGGAAACGGAGAATACCTTTACCAGGCCCACTGGCTGTATCCACCTTTCCAGTGGTTCTTGCAGGTAGTGATTCTGGAACAAAGTGTGGGCAAAAACATTTGCTTGAGTGTAATTCATCATAGCCAGATAATTGTAGATTTTGACTATGAGTAAAATAATCTATGTCTACAAAACATTCATGAAATTGAGTTTTTCAGGCATTTTAAATTAAACTACACGCAAGCTTTCTATTACTTCTCTAGCCTTGTATACAACACAAAAAAAACATTTCTACCATCTACACACAGTCACACTTCGTTAGGTGAATACCATGGTTTCCTCTGTGCTTCTTGGTGTTGGTGGAGGCTGTGGCTACGGTTGATGTCACATGGGTTTTGGGGGCATCCACACCCCCTGAGCTCCCGGAGTCCTCAGGGCCCTTGTCCTTCCTGCGCTGCTGCCTCTTCTCACGGTTACTGACTTTGGTCTCCCATGCACCTGGATGACACACAAAAGAACAACAACTGGTTAGATGTCTTGGTGTGTGTGCAGGGGAAAGAAAAATAAATACTTTTTATAGTTGGATGCACTTTAGTTGTCATAATTTAACAAGGAGCCTTGCAACAAAAAAAACCTGAATGATACTTCTTGTGAGTAAAACAAAACTGACGAGTTCAATTATGCAGGAAATACTGAAAACATGAAAGACAAACAGGAAATAACTACGCTGTCAGTTTCAAAATGAGAAGTTGTGAAATTTCCCCAACAACAGTTGAGTCTTACCATCATCTGGTTCCTTTGATTCATTTGTAGAAACATGCTGAGCTGGTCTCACTTCCGTCTTCAGTTTCTTCTTGTTCTTTTTCACCTGCACAGGGGCCTGCACCTCATGGACCTGGGCACAAAGACAATAAGTAATTTGGTTGTGCACTGATAGAGGGACTTTAGCTATATTAGAACAATAGCGTTATTGTTTCATAAAACATTAGGACATTAGGACAACTCAGGAAGATTGAAAAAGGAAAAAAACAAACACACCTTCTCTGTCTTGATCTTCAGCAACTGCTTTGGAACCACCTTAGTCACTTTAACTTCAGCTACAGTCACTGGCTGCCCATTAGACTGAGTCTCCTGTCGGAGGAAGACACGACATCTGATAAACAACATGATGTTGATGGCTTTTAATTTCAAGATGGATTCTAACACTATGTCTGTCTGCAGTGTCCCTCACAAATGCACATTGAAACTGCCACATAAACAAAAGGAAACATCAACAAGAGCTCGGCCATAAAACAATAATTAACATAATAAAATATTCATCAATAGCAATTTAACGATTGATTTGCAAATCTTGATGTTTTTGTCCATATCACCACCCAACTTCAACATTCTATCCTAACTAAAAACTGCAATAAGATCATATTTATAGACTTTAATCTTTGAGAGTGACACCTTCGACATGAACTACTGAAATAAAAACACGACTGTGTGTACAACTGATTTTTGAAAGTCACATAATTTCGTTCACAGATCGGTTTATTAATCAGATATTATTGTCTGGATCATGTATTAACCATTTTTTTGTGCCATTACTTCAGTAAAATTCTTCATTCTTGTATCTTTCTTATCGTCTTTGATTTTAGACTTTGACTCCGAACACGTGCTGCCAGTGGTTTTTATTTTTAAACATTTATCGAGTTGCTTCTCGTCTGAGATGTTTTGTGAAGCTAGTTAGCGTTAGCATCCTTTTCCAAACAGTGATTCGCTGTATCCCGAGTCTTTAATTTTCCGCAGTGGGACTAATTAAGGATAATCTTGTCTTTACTTAAGTCATGAGTAAGTACACCACATGACTGACCCTGTGTAGCTTAGTATATAGCGTGTACCAAAGCGTGTAGAAACCCTAATGATAAGTAATAGTGTCTTAAATAGCTAGTTGGTTAGCTAGCAGGCTATCTAACGTTAACCCTGGAGTGTCTTTGTGTTTACATGTCAGAGGAGGAGATGTTTAAATTGAGCGGACTGACTGAGCTCTTCCTTCAGCCTCCATTGTTTCCAGCCATCGCACTTGTTTCGTTTCAGTCTCACCGTGACTCGACAGCTTGTTACCGCCGCCTGCTGAGCCCTCTCCCCCGGTTTCTTTCTGTTCCTCCTCTTCGGTTCTTCTGGCTTCGCGGCTTTGGGCACACTGGCCTTGACGGGCTCGCCCTGGCTCACCGGGGCTCCTCGCTTCTTCCCGGCGAGCGCACGGCCACAGACGGCGGCCCAGGACAGCGCTAGCAGCAGCAGCAGACCCGCCGCGGCCGTGGACAGGACGACCCACGTCGGGTACAGCTCGGGCTTCAGACCCAGGTCCACCCCGAGCTGAGCCTGGAGGTAGCCTTGTCCCGACGACAGGAGCTCCTTCAAACGGCCGGAGAGCATTTCGGCTTTTTCCAGCGCGAAGCCTCGCAGGTCCCCGGCCATCTTTCCAAATTACGAAAATGCTAGCTAACTGTTAGCTACCATAGCCTGCATCCGTATGCTAACGGAGGAGTGGCTAGTCCAGTCCGGTTATTGAGAGAAAGATCAGTAATGCTACAATTAGCATTACATCAATAAATATAGATGCACTGTGGCCATTTTAAAGCCTGGATCTCTAGAATGTAGCTCAACCACATTAATAACCAGTCATCAAAATATGAAAACAAGTGGACTGAACAAATGATTCTTTCATTTTACAAAACATTTTTATTGTACATTAAAAATGATAAAACATTTCACCATAGAAGCCAACACCCCAGATCTTAAAACTCCATAAAAAACAATCTGCATAATTTCCACCCTCAAGCAACAAGTGAGGTATGAAAAAATGAACCTCACTCATTATTTAGATTTAACTAAACCTGAACCGTACCAAAGTAAAAAAGAAATCCTTTAATTTACAGCCTGTCACCAGAACCACTTGGTTGACTATATTGGCTGCTAAGCATCCCAAGGTGTAATTCTCAATCCCTTCAAAATGTATTTTTAATCTGTTTTTTTACTGCATAAAATAAATAAATAGGTGTAAGGTAATATGTTTGTAACAGAACCTCAACTCAGTTTCAGAAGTCTGCATCCAGTGTGAATTTACAGTCCAACATGCTCGACATGACTCCAAATCTCTGATACTCGGCCACTCGTTTCTCAAAGAAGTTGGTTTTCCCCTCCAGCGAAATGGACTCCATGAAGTCGAATGGATTTTCCGCTTGGTAAACCTTGAAAAAGAGAAGGAAGTAAAAGTTACTTCACAGTATTGCACATAGTTTAATCAAAAATAGCATGGTATAATAATGTATGAAAGGAATCAGGGGTCCCTCTGCTTTAAACAGAATAACTGCCATAGCGTACAGTGTTGAAATGAGAAATTAGCATTTGGCTTCCACTGCATGGCGATTTAGAAAGAAATTACCTTATCAAGTCCGAGGTCAGTGAGCAGCCGGTCAGCCACAAACTCAATGTACTGTTTCATTAGACAACAATTGATTCCAATGAGATCCACTGGCAGGGCCTCTGTCAAAAACTCCTGCAACACAAGACATGATGGTGATGGTTTATGTACAGATACTATTAGTTATGCTGCGTTCTTTTATTACACTACTGCTGATTTACTTCTTTACCTGTCAGCAGTGACAAACTTGACAGTAAGAACAAGCATTAATGTGCTGCACACTACAATCCATGAGGATTATTCTTCCAAAACTACCTGCTCAATGCTAACAGCTTTGGTGATGATGTCCTTGACTCTGTCCTCTGATGGCTTTTTCAGCAGGTAGCTGTACAGCAGGCAGGCAAAGCTGCAGTGCAGGCCCTAGGAGACACATTAATACACGCATGAAGATGACTGATGTTAAAACATACAAGTTCAACCTTTAACTGTTTGTATAACTGTGATGGCTTTTACATCCCAAACTGACCCAAGGGCAGCTCTCCTCCTGAGTTTAAACAGCAAAATGTGGAATCAAAAGCTGAAGCAAACATAATTAACATAACAGGAGCTGTGAATGCAGGCAGTAATAACACCACAGCAACCTCTAACAATAGCTGAGGGACATGAAACCTAAATACAGGTGTATCATGTTAAGGTTCAAATGAAATCCCAGTTTTAATTTATGTGTGACCATATTTAATGTACCTTTAAGATTCATTTTAAAAGTATAGAAAGAATTACGTAAACTCCATACTGCACTGAGTAATAAGTATTGAGTTGCCTGAAATCTTTTTGAGATATTTCTGTACTGCCTTCAAATTTTAGCGTACCTTTTTAACAGATTGGACAATGTGTCTTTTAGTTTGTGAATTCCTCTCACCTCATCCCTGCTGATCAGCTCATTGGAGAAGGTAAGCCCAGGCATTAATCCTCTCTTCTTCAGCCAAAAGATGGCAGCGAATGAACCGGAGAAGAAGATTCCCTCCACAGCAGCAAAAGCCACAATTCGCTCACCTGTTGGCAAAAAGTCCAACTGTCATATATATTATATAGCACCAATAAATGAGAAGATCCACAAGGCCAGTGTTGTCCATTATGTTCCATATATGATACACTGATTTTAATCAGTCATGCCTTCCTTACCAAATGTGGATTTGCTGTCATTTATCCACTGTAGGGCCCAGTCTGCTTTCCGTTTCACACACGGCATGGTTTGAATGGCATTTAACAAGTAGTCCCTAAGACACATAATTCATTTTAAACATTTAACATTTCTTCAAAACAGACATAAAAACACAGTAACTATGTAAACTATTACAACTATTGATGTGCAATACTAAATCATAATGGAAACATTTATTAACATAGAATATTGTCAGACCTCTGAAGGCGCAGAATAAAATGAATGTAAAATATTTCATTGTATGGCATAAAATATTAAATCCTTCTGCTTCTTATACCAACGTGAATTGTCTGTTGATGCCTGAAATTGTTGTGGGTACTGCTACAGCTGGGAATGCAACAGAAAACAACCACAGTGTTGTAGACTTATCCTGTGATCGACAGGTGCAAGTCTCTTACAGTTTGTTTTCAATCTTCAAACAAATAGATTTATACAAAGAGAAGTTGTCTGTTTGTGGTTTAACACTTGCTCGATGTTGCCAAAGGCTGACACATATAATCTTTGCCATCAAGCGGTTACTGAAAGGAAAGAGAGTAAATATGTTCTCATTAGACCTTTTTATTGAAATATTTTACAATCTGCTCTTGTATATTAAGTCAGAGTTCATGTTTTCATACAACATAGAACTTTAGACAGAACCACTGCACCACCACTAGAAAGTACTGGCCCAATAAGCCACTGACCTTTCCTTCAGGTCCCTAATGTAAGTGTTGATGAGCATGCTGTACATCTCCGAGTGAACAGTCTCTATGAGGATCTGGAAGCTGTAGAAGGAGCGAGCTTCGGGGACCTGCACCTCCTGGCTGAACCTCTGCACCTGTTTATTAAAACCAAAATGCGTCATGCAAAATGTTACCCTGGCACATCACTGAATGCAAAATTTTATCATGCAAAATACAAAATATTAAGTAAATCTGACACTTTTGGTGGCGTGTGACCTTGGTTCATTTACTGCTATATCGATTTGGCTTCCAATACATTTAACTGGTAGTTTAAGGAACATCTTTTGCTCTTTTTTTCAAACACCTCTCTCACCAGGTTCTCATTGACGATGCCATCACTGGCAGCAAAGAAGGCAAGGATGTGGGAGATGAAGTACTTCTCTTCTGGTTTTAACCGGTCCCAATGCTGCAGGTCTTTGGATAGATCGACCTGAGAGACCCAACATGAAGAGAAAATCAGTTATACATTGATAACAAGCTGTGGTGGACAATCAACTGGGAGTAAGCTCTGGATTTGTAAATGCAAAAATGTAAATACGATGGGAGGATGCCATATTCAATTTTGTGTGGTAATGTATCTTAAAATTCCAACAAAAACTTTATTATTCTTATTTTCCACTAACAGCAGGTCAGAGAAACACTAATATCGCTTTACCCACCTCCTCCACCGTCCAGAAAGAGGCTTGTGCCTGCTTGTACATCCTCCAGATTTCGGGGTACTGGATGGGGAAGATGACAAACCGTCTGGAGTTCTCCTTGAGCAAAGGTTCCTCCTCTGTCTCTGAACCCCTCTGGCAGCCTGCACTTTTATCTTTGATGTCATTCTGCACAGAGCCCGAACAAAAACACACATGTTAAGATAAGATCATACTTTATTATGGGGACATTTGCAATATTGCAGCAGCAAGTAAGTCATAAGTAACATGCAATACCTAAGTTGTAGTAGTAGTAGTAGTAATATATAAATACAAATAAAAACATACACATTTAATTGATATCCACCCGGATGTGTTTTCCTTTTAAATTTACATTGTTAAACTGGGATTAGTTACTTTAAAGTTTAGACATGTTTCATGGACTGTACCTTTAATCACCAGAGACGCTACTGCGCCTGCGCGTGAGTCTCATAACACCCACAACAGAAGGCTGTGTAACATTCACATCGTCAACACGGTGATTTCCCAAAGTATTAAAAACACAAGCAATTGTCGCGTCACCTTCCACTGACACGTTTCCACGTTCTGTCTGCTTTTCGAACGGATGTCGTGTCGTCGCCACACACATCACGCACGAGAGCTAGCTAACATGAAGCTAGCTTGACAGTGACGTTAGCCCACAAACCTTCACTGTGCAGGACACTCGTAGATTTTCACTAAGTGAAAGATTCAGTTTCCGTCAACAAACTGTTCAGTCCTGTCAGATACGATCGGGATTCTCTGTTTACGCTCCTCCGTCCGAGCTACGCACGGTGCCCGGCTGTGTGGACGGGGTTTACCTTTTGCTGGAGATCGTCAGACTGAAGGTTTATATTCATCAGAGCTTTATCCTGAGAGCTTCTCACCGTCGGTGTCATTGGAGCTGGGGTCGGTTGCTCATGCAGCTGCAGCTCAGTCGGTCAAACCGTTTAAATAGACGCCCACTGCGCAGGGGAGCACGCCCCTAACGGCCACGTGAGATGCTGCACTCAACAATCACAAACTGCATGAATAAATAAAAAACACCTGACTAGAGTTTACACTCATTATTTGTGACAAACACAGCATCAAGTCATCGCACTGCAGAGTTTAATGGTTGAACTGAAGGATAGGCAGCTTTTCAGACAGATCTCTGCAGATCATCCTGACAGAGGGGCTGAGAACGCAAATGTCCGAGTGAGAGCCTCTGGACTTTCTGCAGCCAGCTCCCCAGTAACAAGTCCACAGAATGTCCAAAGGAGCTGGTGTGAGGAAAGAGCAGACAATCCTCAGCAGGATTCACAGCGAGCGAGTGGGCATGTTGATGAAGAAAAAGACGAATACATATATCTCAGGATGAAAAACCAATGCAATATACACAGACACTAATAAAGATGTCAAAAGTAGGTGACATGGGCAAATGCTGGTGTCTATGTGGTGATCTTCACAGCAGAATTTAATCGTTATGTATTGCCTCTGCCTGAACACTAGAGATTTCTGTGTTGTTGTGAACGGCTCAGAGCTGAGAA